GGGTACTACAATTTGTGAAGTGCCGGCGCGGCAGCAGTGCGTTCCTCCGTGGTGAAACGATCAGCACTACATCACAGTGGAAAGCAGCAGCAAATCGCCTGGAGTTAAAGAGAGCGGGGCTGCGTTGCGTGCATGGCTTCTTTCTACACGTAACGGGGAGACGTGCTCTGGCGGCGGTCCTACATTTAAATATTTTGCACAATTATTCCACTTATTCCTAGCGTGCCACTGGTTACGGTGCCGCGTGCCAACGGTGGCACGCGTGCCAGGGGTTGCCGACCCCTGGTGTATACGGTGAAGGTGGGTGCATAATAGAGGTAATCTCTAAATTGATCGCAGATTGCCCACTTCAATGCAAGGAACTCAAGCTTGCCAGAATGGAGATGGTAGTTTTTCTCAGCTGGCGAGAATGCCCTTGAACCATAAGCGATGACACAGAGTTTGTTTCCCTGTTGTTGATAGAGCACGGCTCCCAGACCTTCATTTGAGGCGTCGGTGTGAAGGACGAAGGGCAAATCAAAGTTCGGGTAAGCCAGAATGTGTGACACCACAGCACCGTGTTCTGATGTCCACTGGACAGGTGCTTTGGATGAAAGCTGTCCATTATTTGTGGTCTTGGGCTTGGTCTTGTTAGCTCTAGCTGTGGTGAATGTCTGGCTAGACTCTTTAGGGCCCTCTATTAGTTGAAACAGTGGCCTGGCTATCCTAGAAAAGTCCTGTATGAAGGTTCTATAATAGCCCAGAAACCCAAGGAGCGCTCTAACTTCTCCAACATTCTTTGGCTCTCTTTTCTTTAAATGCTGAACTGCCTCAAGGTCTTTAGGGTCTATCTGGACACCTTCCCTGGTCACTAGGTGCCCTAAATACCTGACCTGACTTTTAAATAGCTCACATTTGTTTGGACGTAGCTTGACCCCATGTTCTCGAAGGCGGCGGAGCACCCGACTCAAGTCGTCAACGTGGTCATGAAAGGTCTTAGAAAAGCAGAGCACGTCATCCAAGTATGGTGAGCAGCACTCATCCCTTAGATCGCCAAGGACTCCCTCCATGCACCTTTGAAATGCCGCTGGGGCATTGGTAAGGCCAAATGGGAGGCGGGTCCACTCGTACAGCCCCCAAGGCGTGCTAAAGGCGGTCAGGTGTCTAGAACTCTCATCAACAAAGCCCTGGTGGTAAGCACTGCCTTGGTCGAGTATTGAGAACTATGAATAGCCCCCCATGTTATCCAACAGATCTTGGATGCGTGGAAGAGGGTGGCGATCAGGGACAGTTTTGCGGTTCAAGCCCCGAAAGTCAACACACAGGCGTAAACTCTTGTCTTTTTTCCTGACGCAGACCACAGGAGACGAGTAGGGTGAGATGGACTTTTTGATCCAGCCGTGGTCGAGCAGGTTCTGGACATATTCCTTCACCTCTTTATACAAAGGCTTAGGAACTGAATTGTAGGCTGCTTGGAATGGTGTTTCGTCTTTTAGGTGGATTTTTAGCTGCAAGTTTAGAATGCAACCAATGTCAGAATCGTCCTTAGCAAACACATCTGGCTCTTCATACAACATGTCTCTCACTATCTTTTGTTCATCCTCTTGCAGGTGTGAGACATCAACAGGCGGGTGCCATTTTTGTTTTTCCATTTCCTTTGTCTCCTGTTTGTCACTTCTTTCTCTCGGCTTGTCTGTGCTTAGCTGAGCTGAGTATGTGTTCACAGTGGCATGGGACTTTGGCTCTCCACCATCTGGAAAACAGTTAACTGGTTTCACTTCAAGAACTTCCTCCAATGTGCCTAGGACTGTTCTCTTTGTGAGGTAGATATCATGTTTAGTGGGGTTCTGAATAGTAATTTTTACCATTTTAGTGGACCCACTTGGAACATCTACTAAAGCGGAAACAGCTCTAACCTCTCAGAACAGTTACTCACTAGGTCGGGTTGAAAGAGTCCCGCCCCTTGGCCATTCCTGACTCTACACCTAACCTCACAGATCTGTCCTGCTGGAATAGTGACACCTTTCTTCCCTGTTCTCACTCTGCACTCAGGGGCGGTCTCATCGGGGGTCAAAATCTGCAGAGCAGAGACTAGGGCTTCCACTGCACTGATACTTAAAGCTTCTTTAAGTAAAGCAGAAATATCAGCCTCACCTTTCTGTTCTTGATTTGTGTTGATTATCTCAGCTATGACATTACTGCCGAAAACAGGACAGTTAAGACAGTTTTTGCTTATTAATACTGGCACTTGTATGTCACATGTATTGTGACATGTCCATAATTCTCACTACGGACCTGGAGTTCAACCTCTGCCCATCCATCAAAGGGAACATTTGTGCCATTCGCTGCAGAAATCTCCAAAGGGGGGTAGCAAGGGAGGGTTGGGAGTGGCTGGATTTGGAGGTTCGGAAGTGTCGTTTCCATCCATTCTCTCCCTACCATTGTCACTTGAGCCCCTGAGTCGAGCAACATTTGAAAAGGGACTTCGTTGATAGCACAGGAGACCATGCATCGCTTTCCAATTAGTTGTGCTATGCGCTTTCTTGGTAGTTGTTGACACTGTGTGTTTGCTTTTACAGTACTGGTTGATTTCAAGTGGCTGGCATGTGCTGGAGGCTCCTCAGCTGTCATGGTCACTGGCTGCCTCTCTCCAGTGACCACGCCCCGTTTCCCGAAATCTTTCTTTTCAGACAACCGATGGCGCGATGTCCAGCTTGGCCACAAATAAAGCAGTGAGGGCAGTTTGCCCTGCTCTGTTGTACACATTCACTGCATCTGCCTCTGGTCTCAGATGTTGGTGCCTGAGGACGGGCTGCTGGTGAGATGGGCTCCCCAGGTGTCGCACTGTCAGTTGGTTTCACCATCTGAGCCATATGTTTGGTCAGTGAGGACACCTGTGCAGTTAGTTCTCTAATAGCAACACGGTTAGCCTGTAACTCAGTGTCAACTTGGTCTTGCTTAGCTGAGTCACTACTGTAAACCTGAGCTGTGCGTACAGTAGGGTTGGGAACCGAAACTTGGTTTCCAGATGAGAACCGATAAGAAAATGCCGGGTACCGGGTACCCATACAAAATACACAATTTCGGTTCTGCTTAACGGTTCCTAAAGGCGGTAGACCCTATATTCCACCGGGTCCGAACTGCGCCGCGGTGACCCGGTGGAATACAGCCAGGGTAGGGCGGACTGGCCATCTGTGTGTTCTGGAGAATCACAGAACGGCCGGTCGTCAGCGGGCCGTTGACGGCCGGCTCGGTACGCTGATGGCCGGCACCGCCCTTAATTTTTTTAAACGGCATCATGTAAGTTGCGGCGACAGAGGTCCACGGTTTACCCGCAGCGAGGCTCCCCCCGCCCTCCCGTAGACAGTAAACGAGCTCAGTGACTTCATAACACCAAAGATGGATCGCGGTAAACGAAAGGAAAGGGGCGCCATCTACTGATGTTACAGTGTATTGTATAAATGTTAGGAAGATTATATTATTAACAAAAAATAAGGGGGGTGTCTGTTTAACTTAACATCTAGCATTTCCAACCTGCTACATATACAAAGTCATTCAAACTAGCTGCACCTTTACCAGCTTTGATAACACTTTAATGATCAATCATTATAAAATATATCGCATATATTATTCTGAAATGGGCCCATCTTTGATCCTAATTACTTTAACTTGTAACAGAGTATTCTTACACTCTGGTACTTCTACTTTTAATTAAGTACTCAATCTTAGTACTTCTTCCACCCAGCGTTTCCACCAGGGGGGCGTCTTGCCGTCATTTGACGCCCTTATTCATCTCGGGACGCCCTGAACGCGAGCCGAGGGCGTCCAAAAATATTAATAATTCGAGAGAAGATTGAGAGTTTTTATCTCTTGAAATGACGAAAAGGAAAAAGGACAAGGACATCCCTCTGTTGGAGGGGCAAAGGAGTCTGGTGGGATTCTTTTCGGAGTATTGAGGATTGTCCTGCTACAGGGCAACACGGAACGTGCGCGATTTGGACGCGATGAGCGGTGCTAGTGGAGCACGCGCGTGAGCTGCGAGCACCAGAGCCTCGCAGCGGCGAAACTGAGGCTCCGTGGTAAACTGTGGTAACATGAAGAGCCGTTTGGGAGCCGAAACAGCTGGCGCTTTAAGAGAGCCGAGCCAAATGATCCGGCTCACTAACGTAAGGGACGGCTCAAGTCAAAATTCAACCCCCCCCCCCCCTCTCTCGGGGTCGGCGCCCTCTCAGCCCTGGTCCTGCGGAAACACTGCTTCCACCTCTGCTTCAGAAGCACTTTAATATTTTCTCCGCCAGTGTCAACCTGCTGCTCAGTGACTGACGTACACGTAGTGAGGGCAGCTGGGCATATTTGACCGAAAATACATTTTAAATACAACTATTCAAAGATTGCAAATGTTTTCCAGGAGGTACCTGAATCTATATACAATTTAAATGTTTCTATAAAAATGTAGACATTTGATACGGACATTTATGTTGCCCTCAGGAAGAACTCAATAATATACGTAAATGTTTCATACATTAATAATCGACATACATTTGGTGATCCTTGAACTTGAACTCTAGCCCATGCTTAGGTGAATATGTAACATTTTTGGGTGTATGACCAAATGCCTGCAAATTAATGACATTTCCATTAACCTGCATCATCAAGTGTCTTCATGCCAAGCAGCCATTTTAGCATGCTAACAAACTGAGCCTTTGATTGGTTAACAATATACCTGCCAAACATCAGCATGTTGCAATTGTTATATTGAGCACATAAGCTTGCTATGTTGAAATGTAGCTTCTTTCTCTGACCTTTTACAAGTGTGTGTGTGTGTGTGTGTGTGTGTGTGTGTGTGTGTGTGTGTGTGTGTGTGTGTGTGTGTGTGTGTGTGTGTGTGTGTGTGTGTGTGTGTGTGTGTGTGTGTGTGTGTGTGTGTGTGTGTGTGTGTGTGTGTGTGTGTGTGTGTGTGTGTGTGTGTGTGTGTGTGTGTGTGTGTGTGTGTGTGTGTGTGTGTGTGTGTGTGTGTGTAGAATGCCGTCCCTGTCGGAGCAGCTGCAGGAGGTGCGGAGTCGGGCTGAGGTGTGTCTCTACTCTGGTGGGAGGGTGGCAGAGGTGAGGGTGGGGGTGATGGCTATTTCAAATCTGCCTTTACCGCCCTGCTCCAAATACTGCCACATCGCCGCAGAGACCATGGTCATAGAAAACAGCTTCGGAAGCAACCGGAAGGAGGTGAGAGAAACAAGTGCACAAAGAGTATCCTCACCTGGAAATGCATATTTGCAGCAATGCATTATGACACCGACACAGTTTCAAAAAACAAACATGTTTACTAATGACTGTATAGTTATAAATCCCTAATAGGTGTGAGCATTTCTGTCTGCCCTCTGCCTGGAGTTTGACTGGTTAAAACTGTAGGGGGGGGGGGGGGTACTGTTGGGGCATCAACATCTGGGACGCACTGACGCTAGCATGGTAGCTCCCAGCACATCATAGAATTACAACTTTATCTTAATGCATTCATTCTGTGTATAAAGAAAACACTTAATATGTAGGAAAGCCGGAGAAGCATATGCACGAAGACAACTAGAGACCCCACTTGCGCTGTACATAACATCTGTAAAGTTTTGTATGCTAAAATCTGCCAAAGACACAACACCTAACACCATGAAAGTAGAAAAAAAGAGGTCCGGTTGACAAAATCGTTTGTCTCTTTTTCTAAGTGTTACATTCTCTGCTCTGTGGATGAGATTCGATGAGTGTTTCTACTAATTGAACTTGAAGCGTAAAGCTTTTTAACGTTTGGTCATGTTTTCTTCTCTCTGTGTTCCTTCCTCAGACTCTTGCCTCTCTCCAGCGCTTGTCTACAGCGTTGAACATCCTAGAAAAGTATGGCTGTAATCTGACAAATCCCAACAGGCCAAAGTACTGGAGGACTGTGAAGCACAACAACCCAGTGTTCAGGGCCACTGTTGATGCTATTCAGGTAACAACACATACAAGGTATAGTACAGATGAAGCGTCTTATTTTGGACAGTTTAAAGTGCGAGGGTCGTGATCGGTTCATGCACGTTCCGTGATGGCCGGCCGGCCCCCAGTCAGACTTGATACCGCCCCCATGATAAATACATTTAATTATTGTGAAGCCAGCTGCAATGGATCATTGATCCACCAGGGGGTGCAGTGGAGTTCCACACTGGAGTCATGTGAAATCAACTTCTAAATAATAGATGTTGTTTAGTCGGAAAAAACGAACGAGCCGGCTCTCCCGATTTTTAATCCTAATTTAATCATCATCATTGATGTTTATGTTCGCCGAATTGACATGAAATCACTGACAAATATGAATATTCTGTATTCAACTTCATTGAAACGATCAGGATGGGTGTTATTTTTCCCCACAATGACCAAGTCGCTGCAAATGATCCCATGTATTACATGTACATGGCCACATTCTCAACAAAGTTACGTAACGAAACATTCTGTATTCCTTGCTTACTTTTTATTTAATGCTTTATAACAGCTGGAATAGTTCGTTTAGAACAGGCACCTCACTCGCAATCTGCTCCTCCGCAACGCCTACCACCTACCTCCGGCTGAAATTATGAATGTACAGTAAGGCATAGTAATCATAGATAACACGGCAGGCTCCGTTACAGTTTGTTTTCATCTGATTTCAAATATTTCAAATGTCTGAAGTTAATAAATACATTCTCAGTGTTCAAGTCAATAATAGTCATATAAGAAAAGTACTGATCTAATAACAGAGATTTTATAAGGACTTTTCAATGTTCGACATCGCTCATGTGAAATACAGTAAACTGGATGTTGTGGTGCCGAGAGGCGGGGTATCAAAAGTACAAGCTAAACTTTTATTTAGCATCTGAACACACTTGTAAACAACGTGATGCCCGGGAAGCGAAGACCCGGCGGAAACAGCTGGTCTGGTTCACTAAAATGTCCGTGTACAGTATATCTGGTACTAATGTATAGCGGATCTTTGTTAAGATCCATATGTCACGGATAGAACTATATATTGAGCTTTAAAACAAATGATATATATTATAATAAAATAAACACCGGCTGTTGTTATGCCTGCTGTAACGTTTACTTTCTCCGTTCTCCGCTTAAGTAATTATTACTTCCTGGTTAGCTTTTCGCTCGAAATTTAAATCTGAAAATGGCAAAATAACGGAGAAAAAAACGTTCACAGAGAAGACGACAACAATTGTCACTTGCACTTGTCATTTAGCATCTGAACACACTTGTAAACAACGTGATGCCCGGGAAGCGAAGACCCGGCGGAAACAGCTGGTCTGGTTCACTAAAATGTCCGTGTACAGTATATCTGGTACTAATGTATAGCGGATCTTTGTTAAGATCCATATGTCAGTAGAGATGGGATGGCAGAAGGTGCTATATATATATATATATATATATATATATATAATTCCAAAGCTGGTAAAGACCTTTCAAATTTAGCAATAATAGTCATATAAGAAAAGTACTGATTTGTTCTTGAATCAACTTTTTTATGGAAAATGTTTTATGTAATTTTATTTCATTTTAAATAAAATGAAAGACATTCACAGTTAATGTAATTAGATATACATTATTAATGCCATACATTTTTAAATGTAATTAGATATACATTATTAATGCCATACATTTTTGCATAAATATTTATTCAGTATGATAGCTGTCTAACAGAAGTTAAATCCATTTCTCACTTATTCTGACAATGTACTTAACCCCAAATAAAAGAACCCAATAAAAATAGTTGTTAAATAATAGTGAAGTCACGTTGTAATAACAATAACTCATCTCTCTCGGTTTTTTTTGTTTTCTTTGTGTGCTTTGCCAAAAGCCACTGTGTCAAGTGTCCTAGTTGGGTTACCGTAACGAACAGCAGCCGGCTCTCGATTTTTAATCCTAATTTAATCGTTTATGTTCGCCGAATTGACATGAAATCACTGACAAATATGAATATAATGTATTCAACTTCATTAAAATGTTATTAACGTGCCTAAACTCAGTAATTCACTAAAAATTACTGATCCCTCCGCGTCGCGGAGGGATCTTGATCCCTGGGTGTTATTTTCCCCCATAATGACCAAGTCGCTGCAAATTATCCCGCTTATTACATGGCCACATTCTCAACAAAGTAACGACATGACTCCCAATATTAATTAAAATGCTTTTATGGATTTAGAAAATATTTTTATTGATTTAAAACATAGTTCTATGTATTGATTTAAATTGACATGCATCCGCTAAGAAAAATAGTCCGTTGTTACCGTTTTTTTAAACAGTCAGAATGAAACGGCAGCTCTCAGCTGTGTGTTCACACTCCTAACTCTGATCTTTCTTTTCCAACAGTTAAGTTAACTGTAGGTTACTCTGAGTGACAAGCTTACAGTTAGTGAAGTAACACTTTTTTTTTGTGAGTCACGACCTCGCTGTTTCATTCTAACATAACGCTCCAAATATGACTGTTTCCACTCGGACTTCAATACAGCAACACCATTGTTTGGTTTCCATGGTAGCGTGTCTCTTTAGTAGCGTGCACTCCTTTCCTGTAAATTACAGGTCCAGCCAGGCAAAACAGTAATATGAAATATGAACGTTAGTTTTTAACTGAAATGATCAAATAAAGTCAAAATGTCACAGTGTTTACAAACATTGACCATACCGTTCACCAGCCCCCACCCCACTCTTTGTTTAAAACGAATTGGCCATCGGAATGTGTGTGTCCCAACCCCCCCCTGTGATATCTCTTCACAGGGGGGAGAGAGTTAGACGCTCGTGAATTGTCAAGGGGGGGGGGGGGGGGCCTCTCTGCACGGAGGAGCCGCGGAGAAGTGAATCACAGTGATCTGCTATTTTAAAGTAAATTCAACACATATCGACCCTAAATATAGCATATATTAAGAACGAGAAAGTGTTAACATCGTTTTTTGTAAACATATGACCAATGTGCGAGGGTGATGACATCAGAGCATCGTCCTATGGGCTTAGCCCCGGACAGGTACAACAGGTATTCACTCAGAGGGGGGTAGTTATCCATTTACATGTCAAAAAGCAACATACAGTAGGCGGGTGGGGGATGGTGAACGTTTACATTTCTCTACAGCAGTGGTTCCCAAACTTTTTGTGCCCAAGGCACACCAAAGGACAAGTAAAAATCTCAAGGCACACCTATTGTGCGAAATAGCCCTTATAACACGTGTTATCACTCATATCATGTAAAATATCTGTAAATGTGCATAATTATTTACTAATGCCAAATAAAATGTATAGATAGAACAATCAGTGGTTCAAGTTAGTATATTCCTCAGTGTAACATATCCACTAGTTGCAAAGCTTAAACATTTTTATATATTTTTTTATTTTAAGGGAAAGGATGTTTTCACTACTCAGTTTGTCAACTATGTTACGGACAAACTTGATGTCATTACAATCATTTGATTAAGTCCTGCACTTCAAGTAAAATCAAATTTGAAAGGCTCTTGAGTCTATTCTACCATATATCCAAAGATTTTTTAAAGTTTAAAAAATAATTGTATTAAAGTTTTGTTTTTTCATGTGATATGTTCAGCACTGTCATTAAGTTTAGGGATATTTTGTATTATAAAACTACCATACAGGTCATTTTGATAGTTTTAAGAGATGTCATGTAAAACTCCAACCTGTGTAGATATACATTATACTATAAAGGATATCAGAAGCACTATTTTAGATATTTTAAATTTGAAAAAATGAGGTGCAACATAGTTGACAATGAAAGTCAAACATTTGACGCAAATAACATAGTTGACTGGACACATTATTAACCATCAGCACTATGTTAATTTCAAGGCAGAAGTGCAAAATTCCATTGATAATGATGTGTAATGATGTCTACATGTCGTACAAATTGTCAACTAGGTTACCTGTCAACTAAGTTACTACAGTTATTACAGTACTGGGTAACTCAGTTGACAGGTAACCTAGTTGACAATTTCCCTATTTTGACCCATCATTTCAATGGTAGGCCTTGCCTGGATGACCACATGTCATTTTCTTGAACAGGTTAACATCACATTTGCACATATAATTGAATTAAAATCATTAAACAATTGTAAACCATAACAATGTACGTAACATTGTTGATTGTCAATGAGTATATTAATTGACCATGTGCTATTATACATAAAATATTGTAAAAATGTAGAGGACAATCACCACAGTGTGTTCAAAATGTCTGCCAAAGAGGAACATGGCATCATGTGATGCTGGTGACATGGTATTGGGACAAACAATTTTTGAGTTAAAGGGGGAAGTTCTGTTAGTAACATAGTTGACAGAACTTTTGCGGACATTCATATATTAAGATATTTAAATTATTTAAAGGGGGAAATCAATTAAAAATATGTTATTATTCTTTAGTATTTAGACTTTTGAAATAAATGAATCATTTTTTAAATTTACTTTAATGGTTTTTATTCATTATTTTGAATCCAAGACACCCTCAACTGAAAAACGGACATAGCAAAAACTGACAATTTAAGAACATCATGACACATTTCAAGCTAAATAAAGCATAGGATGCACATAATGTTTGTGTGATATTATAACATGCTTTCCAATAATAGGCAAAATATGATATTTTTGAAGAAAATAGTTAGAATAATTATAATTATCATCAATGGACATCAATGGACATGGAATGTACCCTAAATTGTAGAATCACTCAGCAGTTACATACACCAAACCTTCCAGTTATATTCCTATCAATATTATGAAGGCTTTTACAGAAGGGTTTGGTCATATATAATTCATAGCCTGAATTATATAACATTTTATACCTAAAAACATGGTGAAAATTGATATTTTAGGGCTGTTGACAGTATTTTCTGATTTATGGAGTGATAAAAAGAGATATCCAAAATCCCTTCTGTAAAAGCCTTAGATACTAATATGACTACAAAATGAAACAATAATTTTGATCCTGGCTTTATCCAAAGTTCAGATTTCGGTTCCTGAAATGTGTTAAAATATGCGCATATTTCATGAGATAATGGTTCATTTGGATATTTAAACATGCTATTTCAGAAGACTTGTAATACAAAAAACAATTGCCTTATTGTAAGTAATTAACTGGAGAAATATTTAGCTGATATCTTTAAGTTAAAAATACCCTATTCACCTGGGGTGTCTCGCCTTAATTAGATGTTTGATAAGTGCAGATCACATAGTAAAACACGTACACAGATACATTATTTTGTATTTTTATTAAATTCGACAATGTCAATTTCACTTTCCACTATGTCCACCGTTGTTTTTCACAACCAATGGCAGAACTTTATTGAGGCCTGTAATTAGTCAACTACAGGTCTCTTGAGTCAGTCTTTTTCTTCCAAAAAGCTTGTGACAAGATGTTATTGCTCTTGGGGCATTAAAAACAAGATTTTAACTTTAGTTTTTTATATAATATCTGCATTTTCTATTGTGAAAAACTAAGTCTTAGTTATTTAATATATAGCGCCATCTCCTGGTTAAACCCTGAAATTGGAGAATAGTGGGAGGGCCTAACATTCCTGAATACTGGTCTTTGGCAGGCAACTGGCTGGCAACTGGCTGGCAGTCGGCAGGAAGCTGTATGCTGGGGTCCAAAATAAGAGGCTCCATCTGTATAGTTAAAAAAAGAACTAGGGAATTTGAAAGAATTTGCAACAACACAATACAAAAACATCTTTATGTTCAAGCCTCACGGCATATAGAGTGATGCAGGAATATGTTTTACACCCGGGTAGCATTTTCAACATTGTTTTTATGTGTTTTTATTAGTTGCCTGGTATAAGGTCTGTGGTTAACACAAGCTGAAGATATTTTGATGTTTTTTTCTATGACATAAAATACGTCAGTAAACACCCCACTGGTGAATGTCTGAAGCTTCTATGTGTCACATAAACACGGGTTGCTAACAAGTCACTAAATGAGACTACTAAACGTCATCACGCACAACATTAGCCTTTAGATGTTCTCTTACTGCCTAATGTTAGCTTTTTACTTGCTGGTGATATATGTGATATTTGATAGATGACGATGGGATTTCTGCTCCAAAAATCACAAGGTGGTGGTAATACATGGTGATTATCCTTCTGAGCAACACCTAGTGTCAAAGTATCATAAACATGTGTATGCTACAGATATTTTTTTCTGCAATATTTCACACATTGTTTAGATGGTGAGATGCCCTGAATATATTATGCTAGGTCCTGCCGTGAACTTCTCCCCAAATTGTCCCGAACCTGTCCAATATCCTCCCCTGAAACTGCACAAAAACTTGTTCCAACCCTGTCCTGAACCTGTCCCATACGTAAACTGATCCTGTCCTGATCTTGTCCTAAATGTGTCTTTATCCTGCTCTAAGTTTGTTACAGTTGTCTCTATCCTGTCCCTCTCCTGTGCTGAATGACAGAACGTATACATATACTGTAGAGCCTGGGAAGGTCCACCCTCTTACCTTGCTGTTTGAAAAAATTGATTTGTTTTTCTGCTTTCAGGGAGGACGAGCAGTGCTTTGTCTCTATGGTTACTCTAATCAGCAGCCAGATGGGCTCAGCTTCCCCGATGATGTCACAGATCCTGATGTTGGCCGAGTTGCTGCAGTGACGCTGGAAGTGATGAGTCTGAGGATGGAACTAGAAATGCTTACCAAGGTGTGTGTGTGTGTGTGTGTGTGTGTGTGTGTGTGTGTGTGTGTGTGTGTGTGTGTGTGTGTGTGTGTGTGTGTGTGTGTGTGTGTGTGTGTGTGTGTGTGTGTTGTGTGTGTGTGTGTGTGTGTGTGTGTGTGTGTGTGTGTGTGTGTGTGTGTGTGTGTGTGTGTGTGTGTGTGTGTGTGTGTGTGTGTGTGTGTGTGTGTGTGTGTGTGTGTGTGTGTGTGTGTGTGTGTGTGTGTGTGTGTGTGTGTGTGTGTGTGTGTGTGGTTAAGATTCGCATCGGTGCACCGGCATAAACGTTCAAAATGTGAGTGCACCGGTTGAAAGAGTGCACATCGGCTACAGTTTGGGTTGAACTCGCGACTGTAGCGTCTTTGCATCGGTAAAAAAACGATTCATTCGTCAGGCAGCAGTTGTATGGGCATTGCTCTATGGTAGTTGTTATTTGCACATTGTTAATCATGGGCAATGCATCCTGTGTGTGTGTGTGTATTATGTTGGCAGCACAGCATGAGCATTCCTAATATTTCTCATTGCCCCTCACCGTTTTCTTTCTGTGACACTGCCCCGACTTTGCTGCAGAGTCACAGAAAGCTTTAAAAACGTTGCCCATTGTGCACCACATTCTTGTAGAGAAGTGTAAACGCTTCTTACTCCACTAATCCACCTCTGCACTGAAAATTGCCTTCTCATAGCAGCCTTTTCAGTGCAGTGTTAACACAGATGATTTTGATGAAATTGATTATGGTCCCATTTTATTTAGTGTGTGTTAGTGAGCGAGCATGCACATCTCTAGGATCCTGGTCATGTCTATAGTTGTTTCAATCCAGTTCATTTTGACCTGTCCACTTACTCATTGCGAAAGCATCGACACAGCGTCAGAGCGTCACCCTTGGCGTTTCATCGTGGGAAATATGAATTTGACGCACCAATAAAGCATCTTTTGCTCTACTCTAACACAGAAAAGACCTGTCTATGCTGCCCCAGAACGCCTTTTTGGAAATTTTTCTTTTTCCATTGTTTGCTTCCTGGGTTCTGTGACGTGTGAATACCCAAATCAACAACAAATGACGGGATTGGCCCAAATGGACCAATCCGCGGAGCACCTCACACACCAGGATCCCTTGGCTAACTAACAGGGAGTCCCCAATGACTTGCATAGAGCTCCCTGGTTGGTAATAGACGAGTTGGGATCACGGAGAAATGCTCTCTGCAGACCCATTCTCACAGCGTTATAAACCTTTTTCTTACTCAATATCAAGCCACACTTATTGTTTTTACTTCGGCTGTGAGTGTTTGTGAGTGCTCAGGATGAGTTTCGCTTGTTCTCGCTGTATCGCCGACCCAGAAACCTTTCCGCTCCTCGCAGCAACGAGCCTCGCAACGTCCCGACCAATCAGAGCACACTGGGCTCACAGGGAGGGGGGGGGTGCAGGAGCTCCAACAAGCCGTTTAGGACAGAGAGTGAATACCGGTGAATACACATACTATACAGAGATGCTGTATGAGAAACCAATGTGAGTTTGGAAAATTGCACAATTTAAATCTATTCTAGTAGACCTCAACAATGGAAATATGATCAGTTGAAATGGCCATGACATGGGCCCTTTAAGTAGATAGGCAAGCCAAGTATATTTATATAGCACCTTTCAACGCAAGGCAATTCAAAGTGCTTTACAAAAATGTAAGACACAAAGAGCATTAAGAAAAAATGCAGAATGGCATTCAAAAACAGTCATTCCAAAGCAGAGAGAATAAAATAAACATAAAATAAGCTAATATAGAAAGCAGAGGTATAAAATGCATCAATAACAGTGCAGTTTAAGATGTGAATAGTTCAATTAAAAGCAGCGACAAAAAGAAAAGTCTTCAGCCTGGATTTAAAAGTAGTAAGAGTTGCAGCGGACCTGCAGGTTTCTGGGAGTTTGTTCCAGATATTTGGAGCATAATAACTGAACGCTGCTTTACCATGTTTAGTTCTGACTCTGGGGACAGAAAGCTGACCAGTCCCTGAAGACCTGAGAGTTCTGGATGGTTCATAATTTAGCAGGAGATTAGAAAAGTATTTTGGGCATAAACCATTCAAAGCTTTATAAACCAGCTGCAGTATTTTGAAATTAATTCTTTGACACACAGGAAGCCAGTGTAAAGACTTCAGAACTGGAGTGATCCACTTTCTTAGTGTCAGTGAGGACTCGAGCAGCAGCGTTCTGAATCAGCTGCAGCTTTCTAATAGATTTGTTGGTAAAGACACCATTACAGTAGTCCAGTCTACTGAAGATAAAAGCATGGACACGTTTTTCCAGATCCTGCTGTGACATTAGTCTTTTCTTTTTTTTATATATTTTCTTTTTTATTTGCTTAAAAAGTCAACAGTTACAAACCATCTTACATTTTAATTTTTTTGAAATTATACAAAACAAATAATGCAAATCACGCATACAGACAAACGAACATGAAGAGACAGAGACACAACAATAATCAAAACTGTTTAGCAGAGAACCAGGGGGGTTACATTACAAACATAGTTTTTAGTTGAAGTCTGATCTATATGGTTTTACAAACTCAATCCATCCCTTCCAACACTTGTCAAATGTGTCTTGAGTCTTAGAGCAAATGTTAATTTTTCCATAACAAAAATGTCGTGCACCCAGTGTTGTAGTCAAGTCACCAATTCACGAGTCCAAGTCACTCTCGAGTCACCACTCTTCGAGTCCGAGTCCAAGTCCGAGTCACCAAGGGAGAGTCGTAGTCGAGTCCGAGTCCAAGTCCGAGTCACCCAAGGAGTGTCCGAGTCGAGTCCGAGTCATCATTACCTGTGTTCGAGTCCGAGTCCAAGTCCGAGTCACCAAGGGAGAGTCGTAGTCGAGTCCGAGTCCAAGTCCGAGTCACCAAGGGAGAGTCGTAGTCGAGTCCGAGTCCAAGTCCGAGTCACCCAAGGAGTGTCCGAGTCGAGTCCGAGTCCGAGTCATCATTACCTGTGTTCGAGTCCGAGTCCAAGTCCGAGTCACCCAAGGAGTGTCCGAGTCGAGTCCGAGTCCGAGTCATCATTACCTGTGTTCGAGTCCGAGTCCAAGTCCAAGTCCGAGTCACCCAAGGAGTGTCTGAGTCGAGTCCGAGTCCGAGTCATCATTACCTGTGTTCGAGTCCGAGTCCAAGTCCGAGTCACCTAAGAAGAGTCCAAGTCAAGTCCGAGTCACAAGTCTTCATGTATTAATCTTCGTGGATATATGTGTTGAAATGTAGCTGCTCCTCTACATTGCTTTTATCCTGTGATGTTATACTAATCTGTCTATTGAACTGCTGTGAAGCCAGTTTGGCTACAATTCTTGTAATAGGTGCTATACAAATATAAAGCTTATTACTAATATTAATATTATTATTATTATATATAAATAAACTATGTTTAAAATGAGTTACCTTTTAGAGAAATGATTATATTTGTAATCCAATATTTTCCTATGGTAAAGTTTTCGTTTTGCACTTTTATTTTGATAGTAATAAGATCGGGACTCTTATTTTGAAGGAACTTTTACCGGTTAAATCGGTTTACTGATAAAGATTTAGCCCCAGAAAGCACATGGCTACTTAGCATGCAAAATGACATCATTCTGCATGTTAAGTAGCCATATGCTTTCGTGTTATCGGCTGAATCTTTATTTATTGATTAGATCACGTTACTCTGATGATAGTGTTCTATCAGCCTATATGTCTGAACTCGATGTTTAGAGTAATGTGTTACGGAGCCTTCTCTTCAATATTGTTTCCACATAACGAGCATTTTGCGCTGCTCTTTTCCAATGTGGAAGCAGAATGTGTGAAAGCATACAGCACGATGCGGGGTGTGTCTCTAGACATCTTTAGACTGGAATAGCGGGGCCCAGTACGTGAACTCGCCTCGCAGCCGGTGCACACGCCAGGATAGAGGACATCAGACTCCAGAGAAAACTTGCTCGAGTCCGAGTCCAAGTCGGAGCGTCAATGTACAAGTCGAGTCCGAGTCATCGTGGGGGGAAAAATTCACGAGTCCGAGTCCAAGTCAGCGTACGCGATAATTCAGGAGTCCGAGTCCGAGTCCAAGTCATCGTGCGCGAGAATTCACGAGTCCAAGTCCGAGTTGCGTCAATCAGTGCGCGAGTCCGAGTCGAGTCACGAGTCCCGAAAATCGGCACTCGAGTACTCCATCTCTGCGTGCACCACATTAAACCAGTCTGCTAGAGTTGGTGGTACTTGGCTTAACAATTTTTTCATTATGGCTTTTTTACTGGCGACTAGCATTACTTTAAACATGTACATTTTAGAGAAACCAAGAAGCTGGTCGTCCACGAACATCGCTTTTTTGTTTTCTCCTGCCAATGAGACTCCATGTATTTGATAATTTTTGCCTTATCATTTGGCTCAGAGGCTCTATAAAGAGCGCAAACAGGAGGGGGCTTACAGGACATCCCTGGCAGCAACCACGCTCCAATTCGACGGGTCCTGAAAGGGAGCCATTTATTTTTATTCTCGCCGTTGGTTTGTTATAAAGAGCCTGTATTGTCTGTATGACATTTTTGTGAAACTGAAATTTGTGCAGAGTTTTGTACAGAAATGACCATTTAACTGAGTCAAACGCCTAGAGTTGTCCTGAATTTGCCGATTTTCAATGAAACCTGTCTGGTCTAAGTGAATGATTTCAGGCAGGATTTTCTCGAGTCTTTTAGCTAATATTGATGCAAAAATCTTGTAATCTTTGTTCAAGAGGCTCACAGGTCGGTAATTTGAACAATCTAGCCCATCTCCTCCCTGCTTGGGGATAACAGTTATTACTGCTTCTCTCCAGGAGGGCGGGTCTCCCCTGTCTGGAGCACCCAATTAAAGGCCCTAAGCAGTAGTGGAGTTAAAGGTTATTTGAACACCTTGTACCATTCAGCTGTGTATCCATCTGGCCCAGGGCTTTTGTTGGTTTTGATCCCAGAAATAGCCCTACTCAATTCCTCACTTGTAATTACTGCCTTTAAAGACTTATTTTGGCTATCTGTCACCGTTGGGAGTCCAGAGTCTCCGCTTGGTCATCGTTGTTTAAACGTATCTGCTATCATCATGACTGACACCCCCCTTCTAGGTCCAGATTTATGAGGCTGAGAAGACCTGTGCCCTGTACTACGAATCCAGTTCAACACACCCTGGATATGTTTGAGTTATCTGGCTTAACTAACCCTAACAAACGCGCTCTCGCTAAGCGGTCCTACGACGCTGGTTATCAACTCGGTAAATCAACCCAGGGTTTCTCCGTCCGGCTGAGTGTACGTTCACATGAAAGGGGCGGGGTTAGCAACATTTGACCAATCACAAACATGGAGAAGCGTACTGACAGCGCAGCGTCATACTTCCTAAATGAAAAGTAAACTATAATATTAGACAAATATGAAGAAGTTAAACTTTAAACATCCATGACTTAAACACTTTATCCAGGATCAAAGCCACATAGCTGCACCTGCAAGGTGAATACAGCTGGTAAAAGAAAAAGTGTTTGAATTCGTACATTAACAGTTTTATGATATCACTGCCCCGTCTAAGACATGAGTGGATCAGACTTTAATTACATTTGACTCGAGTGTTTCGTCAACTTAATGTGTTGCTTAACCTGTTAAGCCCTGAGCCTGTTTTTCAGGTCTCAGGCTCGAAAATGACATTCCCAGAACAAATGACCATATCTTCCCTTCTAAAAGGGTTAAATTAATAATCTTTATTCTCAAAGTAATGATAAACCTGTGAGTTGGATGTAGAAAAGTCAGAATCAATATAGATGTTTTTTATTTTAAAGAAAATTCAGATTTTACATAGTAAAAAACTGTAAATTATAGTGTCCGTCCAAAAATTCTTTTTTACTTATAGTGAAAACTACCCTTGGATGATGGGTTAGTAGACTAAAAGCTTTAGGAATCCAAAGTACAACATATAATAAGTACCCTGTATCAAGATTGATGCAAAACAAGTGACATTTGACCTTTTTAGAGAGATTTAGCAAAAAAAAAACACTTCTGGGGTCATTTGGGTGGATTTTCCATATCTCTGGCCCCCCTTGCTCGATTTATAATCGCTAGAGCCAATGGAATCGAGGGGAAGTTCTACACACACCAACACGTTAACAAATAAGGAGTGAGAGTGACGCATTTAGACGCTTCTTATGAGACTTGTGTTTTGTTTTGGTAAAAATGGTTCATATCTTCAGTTAGCTGAGATTCTTCCCGTTAATCTGGTGCTACACATTAATAGTTTCATAAATGTTAAGAAGCCCTGAGACACAGTCTCGCAGAAAAAACGTTGGGGGGCCCCCATGTGGGGGGGCTCCAGTGCTTAACAGGTTAAAATAATACTTCTGCATACAGTATGTGACACTGTAAGTGTTGCACGGCCAGATACGGCTCAAGAAGCTGACTCAGATAAGGAAATATATGATACATTATTATGTGATATCATGTGATATGAATGATAAAGGGACACATTGACGTCTGCACTCACAGTGCCGCGTACTGTACGTAATGTTACTTTGATCCGGTTACTTATGTTGTGGCAGATATTTAAGTAAGCTTTCTTAACGCTAATGTTATAATAGTCAGATTGCTCTGAAGATGGGAGGTGATATTCTATAAATGTTCACGTTCACACAGTCGGTGATTTTTGCCGGCCGTCATTCCTGCAACGGCAGTTTTTCTGTATTTCCTTTCTCCTGTAATATATGACTTGATCGCTATAAACTCCGCATACGGAGAACTGATTGGTCAGCCGGCGGTGCTTTCACTGAGTTGATCTCTTATATGGAACCAAACCTGTTCCGGAGCAGGCTAGGTGTTCAGCACAAGTTACCATGGAGATCTACCCCGGTAGAAGTGAACCAGCGTCGTAGGACCGGAAACCCAGAGTTAACCCTGAAGTTACCTCGCTAACCGAAAATCCTGCTTCGTAGTACAGGGCACTGATTGAAACCCCTTCTCTTAAGTTTAGCATGATCTGGTTCTGACAGGTGTGTTTCTTGAAGAAAAACAACACCCGCATTCTCCCTTTGAATTTTACCCAAGATTTTACAAACAATAAGTGTGGCTTGATATTAAGTAAGAAAAAGGTTTATAACGCTGTGAGAATGGGTCTGCGGAGAGCATTTCTCCGCGATCCCAACTCGTCTATTACCAACCAGGGAGCTCTATGCAAGTCAATGGGGACTCCCTGTTAGTTAGCCAAGGGATTTTACCTTTTGATCGGATTGAGAAGGCCTGGCATTATCAAACCTGGCATTATTGCAATACTTCTGACATCTCAAAGGCTACCTTACCCCTATTGCTACACACACACATACAAAATCCCTTAACTGAACACACACTTTGGTACTTAAAACACAACATTGAAAACAATAACACAAAGTTGACTCCCTGAACTGAGGTCCTATCTGTGACCCTGTTGGAGCCGTGGTGTTTTGAAGGCTCAGAGGGATAACCTTCCTCTCCCACTAGGGATAGAGGACCCTCTGTAGGTGGATGTAAGCGGCAATGCATTGCAGTTACACCCCCCAATATTACAAGCTTAACAAAACAACTTAAATGCCACTCTAGAAGACAGAGTATAAGAAGAGAAATAATTTTAAAAGATGCTGGTCAATTCCTTCGTATTTAGCAAGTCCGTTGTTTTAGGCAATATTGTAAAACGACTTACATTTAAACTCACCAATATGACATTCGGTCCCCATGCCACTCCGTGAGATAGAATAACTCACATTTCTGTGCGTATTGTTCGGTCAAAGTCTTTCAGATCTCCTAAAAGTATCCAGCTTCTCCTTGAATCCTGTGCGCGAAGCGGGTGTCTCCGTCTCTCTCCCCCGGGAAACCAGCTCAGCCACTTGATCCTCTCCGCCCACATCTCCGGGGGATTGAACATCTTTACCGGCAAGCCCTTTGCAGCCATATCCTTGGTTGCCTCCTCCGCCGAGACGTAGATTCGGTTCTCGTCTTGGAAAAAGACTCTCAGCTTGGCTGAGAATGGGGTCTGAAATCGTATCTTTTTCTCCTGCAGCACCCGTTTTGCCTCCGCATATTCTTTGCGTTTTTTTAGCACCTCTGGGGAGTAGTCATGATCCAAGTTAGCCTTTTTCTCTCGTTAAACAAAACCCAGTTTCTGCCAGGCCGTTGTAATTATCTCCTCCTTGGTTCGGTGGCTCGCAAATGTAACCACTATCGATCTCGGCGGCAAGTCTGCAGGCGGTTTGGTCCCCAAAGCCCGGTGGGCTCTTTCTATCTTCAGGTCCGAAGAGGGCGGAAGATCCAGATTCTCTTTCAGTAACGCCTCAACCAAATAAATCACAGAGGGTGAGTTTTCTTCAGCCCCTTCACAGACACCGTGTATCCTAATATTGTCTCTTCTGGATCGGCCCTCCTGGTCCGTTAGCCTGGCTTCCATGTGTGTCTGTAGCTCCGACACCGCGCCCTCCACGCTTTCTAATCTTTCTTTCGCAATTCTCTCTTCAGCTTCATCAATCCTATTGTTTGTCTTATTTATATCCTCCTTGATGTCCCGCAGCTTCTCGACGTTTTCTTGGCGAAACTCTCTCAATTCTTGAAGAATCACTTCCAGGTTCGCCATGTTTCCCTCCTCACGTTGCCCTTCGGTGTCTCGCTGGCTAAAGCTAGCGCTCCTGCTAGCTCCTCTATCTTCGACGAGGGGCTTGTTGTTCACGGCTTGCTGTCCGCAACTTTATCGTGGTTTGATTTCTTCAGCTGACTTTTAGGCATCTTATGTGCCCCTGCTATGATTTTAATAAACTGAAAACACTTTAGAGCCAAGTTACAGGGGCATTAGATATTAATTTGGGGGGAGCTTTTAAGTTACTCTGCTCCCAGCATGGCCGCTCAACCGGAAGTCCCGACATTAGTCTTTTAATCCTATATATATTCTTAAGGTGATAGTAGGCTGACTTAGTAAGTGGTTTAATGTGACTATTGAAATTCAGGTCAGAGTCCATGACTACACCTAGATTTCTGGCTTTTTCTGTTGTTTTGAACATTGCCAATTGAAGTTCAGCACTGACTTTTAATACGCTCCTCCATGTATCCAAAAACATTTACCTCAGTTTTATGAAAAGAGCCGATACGCAAGGAAGTAGAGGATGCAGACACAGATGCATGCCTGTATTGTAAGCATGTTTGTGTGTGTCTTGCCGTTTCATTTCAGCCATGTTGATATCATTTATTTAGTTTGGAGCCTCAACGTTACCAATCTGGCAAATGGAACCACCCTCTTTGTGATATTAATGCAGGCCCGCCCCTCCCTACACGCAGGTCACGCAGACTGCGTGGGGCCTCACCTTGCGGAGGGGGCCTCACCTCGCAGAGGGGGCCTCATCTTGCGGAGGGAGCCTCATCCGAAGCGCAAATGCGGCGCACCTTTATGATTTATAATTACTGTAAGCACGCCACAGTTTCGCTGCTGCGAGGCTCCGGCGCGTGCTCCACTAGCCCGTCCCCCACCCCACAACCCCCCGTCCCCCACCCGTCGATGCTCGCGACACAGAGGGCCTCATCACAAAACTTTGCGTGGGGCCACAAGTTGGCCAGGGCCCTGTATTAATGTCAGTGTTATTGTGAAATAGTAATAATTGTACAGTCGATGACGGTTGTGTTGTCATATCTACATTCATGTTACCATTTACTTGGCTTGAAAACTAAAAGCTTAATAACAATTTTCATTTGTTTTGATCCCAGGAGGCTCATCCCCACCCTGAGTTCTATGAGAGAATCATCCCTACACTCAGACACAAGGTACAGTCCACCAAACTGCCCTCAGATCTGTCATCTCTTCATTCACAAACACATGACCTCAAAGTCAAACTGCCATAACTGTGGCCGCCAAAGGGGACATTTCTGTGGAGTGACTGACAGAGGGAACGTTAGAGCTACTGGTCACATTTATGGGTAATGAAAGCTGTATCTAATGCAGCCATTGCATTTGTTGAAATGTTTTTTTTGTCACATTACACTGAAGGCAACCATCTTTAAGTTTGGAGTTTATGAAGACGTGTGGTGTCAGATATTGCTCCCTCTCTCCTCTCCTCTCAGGATGTGGGTCTCAACACTGACGCTGTGGTCTGCCACTTCCCCTCCTCCTGCCACACAGACGGTCAGACAAAGTCTCTGGCCCTCCCCCTCCACTCCTCGAGGGGGGGCAACCAGGGCCAGTCCCTGTCAACCACCCATCAGAGTCTCAGGAACATCCAGGTCTGTTCCACCTCCTCAAACAAACACCCAGGTAAGATACAAAGCTACAGGAGCGTTTGATGCATGTTTAACTTGTTTTCAATTAAGACACGCGACCAGCGCTCCCAGAGCTAAACAAAGTTTGACTTTTGGAATGCAGAACCGCTTGTTATGTTACGAGGGACAACCAATTACAGCTTTCGTTCCGTAAATATGGAGAAGTTATTCATTTTACTGCAGGTCTTTTGTTACACTAACTTTAAACTTGTTATGAGCACTGCTGTTCTGATTTGACTAACCAACTTTACAAAAAAACACTTATTTAAATGTGCTGTTGTTGCTGGAGATAGGGTTGCCTGGAGAGACGGAGTGGAAGAAATGCAGCAAAGTGACCCCTTTCTTTGCTGTGCTTGTTTATTGTATAATTATAGGCTGACTGTTGTATTGATTACAAAGATCACACAAAGACAGTTTCTTCATAAGCTTTTTATTTGATTAGTGCCTGTGCTAGCAGCTAGCTGAACCTTAGCAGATAGTAGGATTATGGTTACTCAAACAAATCGTCTTGAGAAAAAACTTTAAAATGAACTGTGAGTTTGCACAGATTACACTTTGTTTGGTACAGTAAATGGTCATTTCTGTTTCAGAGAACTGCACTATCTGTGGAATATTCCGGATCTCTGCCCACTGCGTCACCTGCCTGCTGGGGCTGTGCTCAGAGTGTGACCGGCTGTACCACTCCTACCCAGAGAGGGCCAACCACCGACGAACAGCTGTCTCTTCCTCGTTATCTTCATCATCATCACAAAACAAAAACAGTCACAGGTTAGCAATATAGAATATGTGCTAGTTCTGACTGCTTTCAGTCAAAATCAATTATTACTCAGCTTTGATGAATACTTGATTCTGAAGGCCAATCACGGCATTCTGAGGTCTATTATTTAAGATTATCTGTCTGATCATTTCAAAATCAACAAAATGATCCCTTACTTTTCTCTCTCTTCAGGATTCATTTAAAGGTCTCAACAAGTGTATATGTCCGCCTCCTAGGGTTGAGGAGTCATTGTATTTGCTGCTCAGCTTTGGTTAAGTGTGTCTTCCCTGTGAATTAGACAGGAGGTTTTTTGTTAAACTATATCATAATTTTTGTTAGGAATAAAGGGAAATTAAATGCTTACAAATCTACATACTGTTTTCTATTGCCAAGACTATGCTTCCTTTCAGGGTTTATATTGCCCTCAAAAAGCTCAACCCATAAAAATCTTTAGAACACAGTCAGTAAATGCTGACCATGGCAAAGATTAGTGACAATTAAAACACAATGGAAGTCAAAGTGCTAGAACTTAGTGCTACTGGGACGATGACATGATAAGTGAGTGAACAAAACCAATGTCTGGATGCTCAGTATATTCAGTCTATACAAATTAACACAAAAGTCTTACAGTCCCTCTTTCTGTTTCAGTTCTTCCACCTGGTGTTGCCTGCACTGCACTAAAGTCAACTCTGTCCGCAACGTGCTGTGTGAGGAGTGTGAGCGCCCTCGCTTGGAGTTGATCAGCTCTAAAGCAGATGAATCTCAGCCTGCCACCGTCACTGGTCTGTTTCTTCTCCTGGTGCATCATACAGCTCCACTATCCAGTCCCACCTCCCTTATGTGCTATTTCGTAAACTGAGATTAACTCAAATCAAATAAATCTATAGCCTCTATCCTTCCCTTTCTTCTCCTGCGGTCACATTTGAAAAAGTTAGCCTTGTAAACGTGAAAAATGTTTGATGTATTGGTTAATGCTGTTCGTAATTTAAAGTGGACCTATCATGCTATATTTAAATGATATATTGTAGGGCCATACCTATATAAGGTATATTTATACGTTTCTGTTTTCAAAATACCAAACAGATCATGTATTTTAGCCATGCCTCATTTCGCTCTATGTGCTGTTTGCTGTCTACGGGTCTGATTCTGCTGACCACGCCCCCCTGCAGGAGAGGGGAGACGTGCTCTGATCAGCTGCTGGGCTGTCAGAAGAGAGGGAGAAAAAGAGATCTCCGTCCTCCGTGTTTTATTATATAGAGTCGTTATTCATTTGTTTTAAAGCTCAATAAATAACAAAGAAGACCTTTGACCGGCACTTTTCTAATTTTGTCCGGAAGATTTAAACTTTAACGGACATCTTGACCGGCGAAAGAAACTGAAACTGAAACTCTGCCGCACGGTCCCCTCGTTCCTTGGAAGAGGCGGAGAGGTGGGTGTTTGTCATCTGCTGGTGGACTAACCGGAGAGAATTACAGTGCTTGCCTCGACGGGGAGGGATTGCATTGAATTAAAGCAGCGGGAGCAAACGCTTGCCTCGGGGAGGGAGAAAGAAAGCCACAGCGGAGAATAAACAGAAGGGTAACCATGGTAACTATGGGCGGGAAGTCTTCTTCGCTGCTTTTGTGGCAGACTACAGCGCCACTTACAGGCCTGGCATATGTACTACAGCGTCTCCAGCGCTTTCGAACGGCAATGGCCGTGGCTGTCTCCTCCTGATTGGTGGAGTTGGCCCAATAGCCGTAGCGCCACTTTCCTGACATCAGTAAAGTGTTCAAATCTGGATCAGTTTTTATCAGATTCGTTGCAGCCCCTTTTTTAGAGATTTGGGTATGGAGGAAAATAAAGAGGGTTGTGTTTTCTGACACTTGGTGAGTTCCCTGGAACACCGGGGACACATATTCATGTATAAAAGACGTACAAAAGTGCATTTTGCATGATAGGTCCCCTTTAAATTATGAAAGCAATACTCTATTTTAATATTGACACCTGCAGAAAGTGTTGAGTTGTATTGACAGCTAATTCTAATTAAGAAAGAGTGGAAAAGAAGACGGCTTTAACGGCCATTTTGAAAAATGTAATTTGTTCTTGTGTTCGTGTGTTCTTCTTAGAGTGGCAGTGTAAGAGCTGCACCATGGTGAATGCAGCCAGCAGTATTCTGTGTGAAGTGTGTGAAAGACCGCGTTTAGCCACACGACCTCCAGTGACCCCGTCACAACCACCAATCACACCCCCCAGACCTCCAGCACCAGTACTGGCATGCCCGGTGACCCAGATAGCCAGGTCAGTTGTGTTGTGTGTGTTGTGTGTGTGTGTGTGTGTGTGTGGTGGTGTGTGTGTGGTGTTGTGTGTGTGTGTGTGGTGTGTGTGTGTGTGTGTGTGTGTGTGTGTTGTGGTGTGTGTGTGTGTGTGTGTGTGTGTGTGTGTGTGTGTGTGTGTGTGTGTGGTGTGTGTGATGTTGTGTGTGTGTGTGTGTGTGTGTGTGTGTGTGTGTGTGTGTGTGTGTGTGTGTGTGTGGTGTGGGCGGGCGGGCGGGTGGTCGGTCCCTGCAGGTGAGGATCAGAAACTTGGTCTCCAGTTCAAATAAAAACCAGTGTGTGTTATCATGTTTGATCAGAGACTTGGTCCGTATTACAAATAAAAACAGTATACGTGTGTGTATGTAAGCAATCCTCGCAACTGATTATCAGAAACTTGTTCCCCAATTTAAAAAAAAAACATTGGGGATGTGCTGTTTATCATGTTTGGTTTTACCCATGCTAACAATCTGGCTTTTTCTATATACATTTATATTAAGCCGCCACGAGAAAAAGCGCTGAGAGACATTAGAAACAATGCAGTATTAAAATCTGCTCATTTAAAGGAAACCGAAACAAAATATCATGGGAATAACCAGAAAAGCAAGTCGTATAAAATCAATGTCTTACATAGCCTTCAGAGTGATCCTGCTCTCTGCAGCAACACTCCGGAAATGAATCCTCACTTCACTTGATCTGTGTTCATGAGTGCTACAGGATAAATACATCGACCTCTGATTAAAGCTTTCTGCTGACCAGCTTCTTCAAAGGTTCCTTGAAGAACAAAGGTCTTCAGACCCCCATCAGTTAAAGATGATGTATGTTGCAACATTAATACACCTGGAAAATGTGGGCTCCCAATGATTTTGAGCCTTGATATGCATGATCCTGTAAATACTCATTTTGTTCTCTAGTGTCTTTGTTGTCGAGTACCTTAGCTGTTTAAAGGAGAGCCAAAAAAGAGGAAATATTTGCACCACAGATAAATGACAATGAGTACCAAATAGAAAAAGGTCTGTAATGTCTTCAGAAAAAGTGAAAAGGTGACATATATTAAATAATACTGAATAATTTGTTTATGTTTTAGGGAGTTGTATACATGTATGTACAGTATGTCCTAATGACACCCTTTGAAGTGATTTATCATGTGCTAGAATAAACTCTAACATATGAGATCACATGAGAATGTGTTTTCACAAGTAAATGAATATTTATACTATTTACTTTTACAATATTTAATAACAAGAGGAAAGTTTACAGCAAGCAAAACCTGTTTTAATGTTCATAAACAACCATAAAGACTAAAGAGTCCCATTAATGCATTTTTGGTTTCTCCGTTCCCTGTAATGTGTTATATACAGTCCCCTCCAAAACTATTGGAACAGCAAGGCCAATTGCTTTATTTTTGCTGTATACTGAAAACTAGTCTACAAACGGTGTGTTAACATTTTTGAACAGTCCGGCCTTCCTTATAGTTGTATTCTAAAGTATATTTATGAACCAATCAATTCAGATTAATTGGATTTGTGAGCATATTTAAATATTTGCTGAAAAAATGTTTGTACACAGTTTTAGGCACAGATATGAAAATGATGATAAATGTTCTGTTCTTTGTTTACTAAGTCTCTCCCTCTCTCTCTCAGTGGGTGTGTCAGTTCTGTACCTACCTGAACTACTCTCCTGCGACAGTGTGTGAGATGTGTGACCTGGCTCGTCCGGAGCCCGCCCCCCTCCCTGTGAAGCTGCGCCCCCCCTCTCCTGTCAGACGGGTGCCGGCCCTGCCAATCAAACCCACGGGCCCCGCTCCTGAAGACCTGGACTCCTGGAGGCAGAGGCTGATGAAGGAGGAGGGCCTGAAGCTGATCCAACTGATCAGAGTGAGTCCACCATCTGTCTTTGTCCTCTAATCCAGAACACACTTGGAAACAATTCAAAACTGACACCTACATATGGAATGCCATTTAAGCCAAAATTAAATACATAAATAATTAAATAAATACATATATATATATATATATAAATATGCCTATGAAATAAATTCTGAAATAAATAAATGAGGCAATAAATATGTATACATGTACATTTAAATACACATTTATTTATTTCATGGGACTTGTATTTCATAATGGCACATTTATTTATATCAGGGGACTTGTATTTCATAATGACACATTTATTTATTTCAGGGGACTTGTATTTCATAATGACACATTTCCATTTCTTATATGCAAATGAACGGGGCGTGGTTAGCTCACAGATCCAGACCAAAGCAAACCGGTTCCGGTTCAAGAACCGTCCTTGTGCTTTTCTGGTGCTTAACTGGTTCTTCTCTGGTTCTGCCCCTTTTCCACCAAACCGGTTCCAGAGCCAGTTCCGGGCTACAGCCTGATTTAGCTCTGGTTCTTCCTGTTTCAGCCGCAGCGGAGCCGGCTCTAAACACCGAAAACCGGTTCTTAGCTGACCCCACTTGGCTGCCCGGCAAGAACCAAGAACCACGCTCACGTCGGAAGGGGGCGAGATTAACCTGAGCCATAATAACAGTTTATGGCGAGTACGGCAAATGAAAGTTGTAACAAGCAGTAGTGCTGAGCAAAGTGACTAGAAGGCAACCACACACTTATAAAAAAATAACACACTTTATAAAGTCAGGCAACACTAACCAGGCTTCGTGTGATTCTGTTTATTTGTACCTTACTTTGACCATCCGTTCGCTGTTATTGATCATTGTGGAGAGCAGGCAGACGTTTTGTTTGTTATTATAGCAGCTATCGGATGGAATCAATACATGGGCTGCACAGGTTGTCATGTCCGACTATCACAAGTAGAATCATAATGAAAAGGTAAAATGTGCCTGTAGGAAACGGCTTATGCCACAATAGGATAGCAACAAGTAGTCAAGATAGTCAGTTTAGCTTCGGTTGCTGTTGCATAACTAATAATAATAATAATACATTTAATTTATATAGCGCTTCTCATCTGCCAAGACAAATCTCGAAGCGCTGTATAAAAATTGAAATACGTCAGCTTTGTAAGGAGCACTTGGTGGTCAACAGTGTCAAAAGCCTTCCTGAGATCAAGGATGACAGCACCTACATATGGGCTCGTGTCCAACATAGATTGAACCTTTTCCACAAAGACACAGTTAGCTGTCTCAGTGGAGTGGTGAGCACGGAAACCAAACTGCATTGGGTGGAGTGGAGCGAAGCCTTTATCTAAATGTTTGGTGATTAGTTTTGACACCCATTTCTCAGCTACCTTAGAGACACAGGGGAGGATGCTGATTGGTCTGTAGTTGGACATTATTGCCTTATCCCCAGATTTAAAAATCGGTGTCACCGTGACCACCTTCCAGGATGATGGAACTTCCCTCGTGCTGATAGATTGATTTACTAGCCTAATAATTGGTTTTATTAGACCGTCAATATTTGTCTTTATAAAGTTGGTGTCTAAATCATCTGCATCCCATAAAAAGGTGCAGTAGAAGGACTTTAGCAGCATCATAAGAGGCCAACAAGAGTGCCAGGGGTGTGTCTCTGTGCTGAAGGAAGGTTGTGAACAGCTATCCAGGATAGTCTCTAAAGACTTTCCAAGGGGTAACAATGCTGCTGCTGGGGTACTGATCTAGTGGATCTAGTGTTGATGTCATCTGTCTACCTTATCCTCTTAAAATACTCTGTCTAACATTATCTGTACATTACATTACATTACATTACATTACATTACATGTCATTTGTTAGACACTTTTATCCAAAGCGACTTACATACATTCAGTACTGTGGACAATCCCCACAGGAGCAATTTGGGGTGAAGTGTCCTCCCCTGATTCGAAGTCCAGTACACTATCCACTGAGCCACAGCCTCCCAGTATTGTGAACACTTTTAACGCTTATTAAATATAGCAGAAAACATGCATTATTCTACTCAGGAGGGGAGTTTGACAGGGGATCACTCAAACACTTGATTGTACTTGTGGGAGTAGTCCAAGTAGTACTGAGTCCAACAGTACCAATTTTATTAAGAACTTATGGATACAAATCATTTTATCTCTCATCAAATATAGCAGAAGTGGCTTGAGTTTGTTCTCAGGGACTTTGAGAGAGTATTACCCAAAAAGTGCACAGTAAAAGTAGCCTACTTCATTTTATTGTAGCAGTCAAACTAGGACTGAGTCAAACAGTGTCAGTTTTATAAAGAACTTATGGTACAAATGACTTGTATTGCAAATAAAGCAGAAAAGAACATGCATTATTTGACTCTTGTACAGCGATTACCGTAAAGGCGCTATTAATTGCGCACTCAAAAATGAATAGCTGCTGATTTGACCAAGCGAACGCGAGAGACGGCTGAGTTGACCGCAGTTATGCAACAGCAACCGAAGCTAAACTGACTATCTTGACTACTTGTTGCTATCCTATTGTGGCATAAGCCGTTTCCTACAGGCACATTTTACCTTTTCATTATGATTCTACTTGTGATAGTCGGACATGACAACCTGTGCAGCCCATGTATTGATTCCATCCGATAGCTGCTATAATAACAAACAAAACGTCTGCCTGCTCTCCACAATGATCAATAACAGCGAACGGATGGTCAAAGTAAGGTACAAATAAACAGAATCACACGAAGCCTGGTTAGTGTTGCCTGACTTTATAAATTGTGTTATTTGTTTATAAGTGTGTGGTTGCGTTCTAGTCACTTTGCTCAGCACTACTGCTTGTTACAACTTTCATTTTCCGTACTCGCCATAAACTGTTATTATGGCTCAGGTTAATCTCGCCCCCTTCCGACGTGAGCGTGGTTCTTGGTTCTTGCCGGGCAGCCAAGTGGGGTCAGCTAAGAACCGGTTTTCGGTGTTTAGAGCCGGCTCCGCTGCGGCTGAAACAGGAAGAACCAGAGCTAAATCAGGCTGTAGCCCGGAACTGGCTCTGGAACCGGTTTGGTGGAAAAGGGGCAGAACCAGAGAAGAACCAGTGAAGCAACAGAAAAGCACAAGGACAGTTCTTGAACCAGAACCGGTTTGGTTTATTGGCAGTTTGCAAACCACTGAAGAGTACTGGAGTGTGAAACAAGAGCTATTGAGTCAGTGTTGTGGTGCTGTTGCTCTGGTCTGGATCTGTGAGCTAACCACGCCCCGTTCATTTGCATATAAGAAATGGAAATGTGTCATTATGAAATAAAAGTCCCATGAAATAAATAAATGTGTATTTAAATGTACATGTATACATATTTATTGCCTCATTTATTTATTTCAGAATTTATTTCATAGGCATATATATATATATATGTATTTATTTAATTATTTATGTATTTATTTAATTTTGGCTTAAATGGCATAGAGAGGCGAAGTCCCTCCCCTTCCGGTTGAGCTCCATGGGACCTTATTTCGGAAAAGTTATGCATTGAAGTCAATGGAGAGAGAAAGATTATCTTTCGATCCCGTTTGAATTGTGGCACGAATTACACATATGATGTTTGTCAATTTAAAAGATAATTTTGCAAGTCAAAAAAATAATAATGTGTCGTAAAACTGTGAAGTAACACTTTGTTTTGTGTGAAACTGCTCAATGACCTACATCTCCCGTCTCGCACCACACACCAAGACGGCCGTCACGTTGGCACATTTCACTTCTTTCTTTCAGAATGAGGCGAAAAGTATTAAAAGAGGTGAAAATCACTCCAAGTCTGGGCATGTTGAGAGCTGTACATACACACAAGGGGAGTTAGTCGGTTCCGTAAGAGCCAGCATGCGGGACCGGGATTCTGGGATTTGTAGTCTTTCTAGTTGCGTATTTTTCATAGTCTTATATTTCAACAGTTTTACGACAAACTGTGACTTTTTTGACATGGAAATTATTATTTAAGATTGACAAACATCATATGTGTAATTCGTGGCATAATTCAAACGGGATCGAAAGATAATCTTTCTCTCCCCATTGACTTCAATGCATCATTTTTCAGAAATAAGGTCCCATGAGTCGGAAGTAGATGGGCGGGACTTCGCCTCTCTATTCCATACCTACACACTCCCACACTGTAGGGTCACTCTTGCCCCTTTTCCACCAAACCGGTTCCAGAGCCGGTTCCAGGCTACAGCCTGATTTAGCTCTGGTTCTTCCCGTTTCCACCGCAGCGGAGCCGGCTCTAAGCACCGAAAACCGGTTCTTAGCTGACCCCACTCGGCTGCCCGGCAAGAACCAAGAACCAATACTTCACGCTTACGTCAGAGGCTGGGGGCGGGATTAACCTGATCAACAACAACAAAATGCAGCAAATTCTGTTCAGCAATACACACAACTACGAACCAGCATGGATGCCAGTAAATGCAAGCAGCAGTGGACCACTGAAGAGACAAATGACCTCCTCTGGCTTTGGTCAATGCAAGAGGTACAGAGGAAGTTGGACGGCACAACGCGGTCTAAAGCTATTCTCCAGCAGCTGCAGCCGGAGTTGGCCCTGCTGGATACCACCGGACTCTGGAGCAAATAAGCAACAGACTAAAAAAACTCAAGAAAGACTACCGGGATCATTGTTGTTGTTGTCGATATATGTGATTTTCGCGCAGTGTGGGTGTCATAAGAAGGCACTAAACGTTTACGTGATGACGCAAACGATGATGCAATGACGCAGCTTCCCTCGAGCTCCACTCGAGCTCTGAGCAGTGGAAACACAAGTGGTGCTACAGAGAAGAACCGATTCAGCACCAGAAAAGCACAAGAACAGTTCTTAAACCAGATCCGGTTTAGTGGAAAAGGGGCATCTGAGTGTCCTTCTTTAAGGTGGAGGGTTTGAATACAGAACCAAGCTTTGAAAATAACCGACTTACCTCTCTCCAGTAGAAACAGGTCATAACTTTTATGAAACCATGGATTCAAATCATCATCCCTGAGAAGAAAAAAATGAATAATACTGAAACTCCTAAAATTCTTTAGCGCCATTTCCTTCCCTTGTAAACCTCTTCTCCTTTTGAGTGTTGTTTGTGAGCGGATTGGTTTTTGCAAAAGTCCCTGTACAGTCAAATGAAGACGCTTACAGTTTTCTGGACTCACTTCTATATCACAATTATATTATTATTATTATATCACAAAAAGTCTAGCTTAGTTTGCATACTTTACAAGTACATGTTTGCACCTAACTACTAGTGCACAGGTTGTTCCATGAGGGACACAAACCGCATTCCACATAATCAGCTAGGGTCCTTAACGCTTAACTTGAAGATGCTAACTGAGTGTGAGTAGGGAAGAAGAGAGGGAAGGGGTTGGCTTGGAATTGGTGTCTGTATTCTAGTGTTTCTGTCCTTTCTGTGTGTGTCAGGACGGGGAGAAGAAAGGAGTGAGTCCAGAGGAGGTGTTTACAAGCATGAGGGTAGCAGGAGACAGCAGCATCCTGCCCTGCAGATGGTTGAAGACGGAGCTCCCTCTGCTGCTGGACAACATCACAACGCTGGTGGCAACATCTCCCCTTTCAGTCAGTATGCCTCTCTCACTACAATTTAAGTCTGTTAGATCCTGTTAATGGTTTAATGTTTTTGCACAATTTAAAAACACACAAACATACGAGATAACAAACGATTAACAGTGCAGGAAGAGTAAAAAAAAACATTGGGCTTATTTAAAGCCTCTAAATAATGTTAATTAAATTCAGCATTTTATATAAAACACAAGATCAATATACAAACCATTTCTTAAATTCAATAAAAATGGCAAACTTTAAGAACAACATATACTCTACTTAAAATGTAAATAAAGTAACGTATTTTTTAAAGCAATGCAGCAAGATACAGATCTGTGTTCCCCTGAAATGGATGGAAAATGTAGCTCTAATTTTTAAGTTCCTCTGTTTCCTGGTAGTGATTAGGCTCGGTTGAGACGAGCGAGACCGACGCAGACCTGCGCAATAGCGACCGCCGTCTTGCTAGTGCGTTGCATGATGGTTAGTAATTTTGTCCGACTTGCTCTGGAGGCTCGACTGCATGAGACGTTGAAATCTCGCGGGACAAAGATGCCGGCAGCCTTGAGAGCGAGGCGGAGCAGTTTCTCTCCACGAGCTGCAGAAGCGAAATGCTTGATGGGAAACGACTCGCTGGTATCTCGAGCTGAGCGCTCATTGGTGGGTTTTACCCCGTGCTGGTGATGAAACTCTCCAATTGCCTCCGCAAAAGTGTTTTGTTGTTTTGTGTCAGTTTTACATCGCCACTTCCATTCACATTTTTCATCATTGTTCCACAATGTTTATCATCATGAAATTAATATCTATATATGTTATACTATACTTGCACTGCTTACCGTTTTGCCAGTGACGTGCAGTCAGTGGAGGCAGGGGAGGCAGAGCCTCACCTGTCATACTCCAATGTAACGGAAAAACAACTAAAGAAAAACGAAATAGTAATAATAATAAAATGTCTCCACTGATCTGTGTTGTAAGTGTGATTTATGTATGATTCTAATCGCTTTTTATAGTCAAAATCAGCAAATTTGCCGAGCTCCGCTACGGGAGCGATGAGAAGTGAGGCAGGGACGAGCTCTGCCTCTCGTAAGCCCACAGTAACTTGCTGGAGCACGGACACTAATTTAGCGCGGGCACTTATTTTGTGAGCGCGCTCAAGCCAGTTACTGTGGGGTAGGTGAGGCACAGATGAGATCTGCCTCACCTCAGAATGCGTCACCCCCAGTGGCGGCCGGTCCATAGGGGCGCTAGGGGCGCCGCCCCACCTCTTCCCATATTGAAAAAAAAAAAAAAAATAATAATTAAAATTAAAATAAAAAAAAAAATATATGTTTAAAAAAATATATATGTTTTTATTTTTATTTTTAATGAACAAGGTAAATATTATATAATTGGTGTCAGTAAAATGTATAATCTACAATAAAATCTCGTTTAAAATTGTGTTACGATGTCGAAAGTTACTGATAAGTCACATGTTTCCTGCCTGGCCTTGCCCATGCACCTTCTCTCGTCTGGGCGCTAAGAGAGGAGCCTTCAACCAGTGCAGCAGCAGCCACCAGCAGCTGACTGTTGCTATCTGTAACGTGTAAACTATGCCGCGAAAATATAATTTCAGCCAATCAGCGTCGTCAAAGATGACGGTCACCGGGCGCCAATGTCAGCGCCCAGTGCAGTCTGTGAGTAGTTTGGACAGTGACTCGTATCCGGTTGACGCAGTAGTTGATGAGGATGGCTTTGTGTGCAGGTGGAGTCTCCGGACCTCGGTCCGCGCCTAATTCTGTTCAAGAGCTAATCTCCAATCCTTTCGAAAGGAGAAGTTTGGCAGATAAATTGTTGCTTAAAGACCTTGCACCGGACCAACCCGATTTGAATATATCGCAGCAATCTCGTGAAAAAGACAACATTTATACACGAGGCTTCACAAGTAGCTGGTACACAAGAAAGGCTTGGCTAGCTGGATGCAAACAGGTAAATGCTGTCTTTTGTTTCCCATGCTTGGATATCACTTTATATGTAGAGAGGAGGTTTCCCATGGTTGTTAGAAGTTTATTAATAAGTGGGCATTTATCACAGAAGTGATTGTTCTGTCTCCACGTTTGTTGCATTGTCTGTGATGTATTTTCCAACGGTTATAGCTCCTGTTCTGTCCCAGCAACACTACACGGTTTGCAGCTCCACCACATTTTTGGTTTATCTTCGGTGTCGCTTAAAATCTGCTTCCCATCGGACTAAAACCTCCACGTAATCTGAAGACAGATACTTGAAGTTATTTAAACCTTTTGCAAACTTTATGTTCTTTCTTGCTCTAGCCTTGCCAGTTACATTGTACATAACACATATATTATCATTATGCTAACTGGTTGTTCGTGTTAGACGATGTAGCTTTTTCATTTCTGAGTTATTGCTATATGTAAATAAGCCTGTTTGTAAATAATCCTCAGAGAAACAAAGAATAAACACAATTTATGACATTTTGTGCTGTGGTTATTTTTTTTAAATTGCATTTATTCACAGTTCAGTTTGAAATGCTGTAGTGACTTGTATTGAACCACTTAAATATTTATAATTAATGCTACTGAAAAGATGCTATTAATTTTATATCTCACATGCAGTTCACTGTAAAGCTACTTGGTGAAGGTGTTGGTTCATAAAACATGAACAGTTTTAAGAAAGAAAAAAACAGACCAGTTCTGAGAACACAAATTCCTGGTAAAGTAGTAGATGTTCAGGTTGATAAATAATATTTTCCACACTGAAGATTATGGAGGTATTGATCAGTCTTCTCATATTTTTAAGCCTCGATTTCTCCTTTCCCCCCCCCTCTAACATCACCAGAAGTCATCATTTAAGGGGTCATTTCTCGAAAAAAATTTCCGGGGGGCAACCCCCCGGACCGTCCGGGTAGGTCACTTACGGTACGTCAAGAGCCCCACCAAAAAAAAAGACCACCGGCCGCCACTGGTCACCCCACAGAAACTGGCTGGAAAGCGGGCCCTAAGCGCATGCCTGTTCCCATCTCACTGTAGGTCACCAATGTAATGTATGTAGATCCCTTTATTACATTTATCCTCGCCATCCATAGTCTCTAAATAACTTATTTCACGTATATATGATATTTAGGCTCGCTGGTCTCAACGGCAATGAAAATGCACCAGGGGAGGCAGCCATAACCTCTGCCGCACTGAAGGGGGCGCATGTGAGCCCACAGGTTCTTGTTGCTACTGTAATTCTACGCAGAGACGGTAGACGTAACAACAAACTAGACTTTTGAAACTACAGGAAGATAAGGAGGACTTTTACAAAAAAGTAATAGAGATTGTTGTCCAGAAGGATAGCATGGACTTATATTCATCTTCAAGTCAAGGTAAGACCACATTTGTAATGAAAATGGGATCTTACTAAGAAAGAACAATCCAATATTTAGATTTTGGCTATCCTTTTGTTGAACGGTCTGTTTAAAATGAATCGAAGCATCAGACTAAAAAAGCTTTTGAAAATAACCGAATATTTCGATTAAGGTCAAAATATAATATTTGTAAATCTGACTCAGTGAGTCAGTGCCTCACCAGCCATGAACCTCACCGCACGTCACTGCCGTTTTCATACTTTATATATCTTATCATATTCATACACACTGTTAATACTGTTCATACTGCTCATAGGCTACTGTGTATATCTAGTGTATTCATACCCCTCACTGTTTATTCATCATTCAATTCATTCTATATTTTATTCTGTAGATTGTGTACATTCTGAAGCACCCCCCAGGATAGCCATAGCACCCCCAAGAAATGTATGTGTCTTTCTTTTCTTTTTTATGTGTGTGAAATTCATAATTTGAAAAAGGATTGATTCGAAAATAATATGCTACAGTACAAGTAGCCTACTTCTGGGTCTTTGTGTTTCATTCAAGCCATTTTGTGTGCGTGCGCGAGCAAGCGAGAGAGAGCGCGCGCACCGGTGGGTATCTACCGAAGATCGTTGTGGTTAGCATCTGGTGCTAGCTAGCCAAGCTAACAAATATAAGAAGCTTTTTCAACAACAAGGTGGAGGGAGAACTCTCTCCTGTCAGACTGAGAGTCTCAGATAACCTCAGCTCAGGTGAAGTAAAGGACTCTCTCAGTGTTTAGATAGTTAACTTTAGTCTAGTTATCTCAGTGGGTCTCAAACGGTTTGGTCACGATTAGTATTTCCGAGGCACACGTTTATATGATCATTATAAAAAAATAAGAGCATAAATGAAAAACAGTTATGAAATACTATATGACAGTAAAACAAGAATACAGTTTAAAAGGGGAGAGATTTGTAAAATATCCATAAAGAAAAAGAAAATCTGTTTACAGTTCTGTTTCATATGGGTGTTGAGAGATGTATCCATAGACCAGGGATGCAAACTTGTCACCTTTCGGCGAAATTCGCCGTTTTGAATCCAAAATAGGTCGATTGTGTGATTCATGTAGATCTGCAATAAAAATATTTTTGGGGTATGGGGGGGGTCTGGGACCCGGAGTAATCTGCGGCCGCGAGCTGTTATGTGCCATCATGACACGCATGGTGTTCTTTTTTTATATATTATAATGAAGCGCGAGCTGTGTGCTCGAGTCTTCCTGCCTGTCGGCTCTGCTCATGGATGTATAATAAGGCTCTGCTGCTCCGGGATGAGGGTCTAGCTTCAGCAGCTACATTACCTACGGTGCGTTCGTTAATATTAACTGTGCGGTCCGGAGTCACTGTGGCACAGACTGGACCGCTGGTGAACAGCTGTTAGAACGGGCCGTTCAGGTGTTCAGAGCAGAGCTTCCTGTCGGAGCGGCAGAGCGTGATGTGCACTGAAAAGTTTTTCTGTCGCAATATTATTTAAGGAATCGTTGAGCTAGCTAACTAGCATACATTGTCACTATCTGCTAACGTTAGCTTTAGCCTTCGTTTTCTAATAGTTTTATAAGTATAGATCTTGTACTTGGGTAAAAGTAGAAGTACTCAGATCTTGTACTTGATTAAAAGTATAAGTACCAGAGTGTAGGAACAATCCTGCAATCAAAATGTTCCTTAAATAAAAGTACAAAAGTATTATCATCAAAATATAGTTAAAGTAGCGACAGTAAAAGTAGAAGTACTCAGATCTTGTACTTGAGTAAAAGTAGAAGTACTCAGGTCTTGTACTTGAGTAAAAGTAGAAGTACTCAGATCTTGTACTTGAGTAAAAGTAGAAGTACCAGAGTGTAGGAATACTCTGTTTCAGTAAAAGTACTGCATTCAAAATGTTCCTCAAACAAAAGTAGAAAAGTATTCTCATCAAAATATAGTTAAAGTAGCGACAGTAAAAGTAGTGATTGTGCAGATTGGTCCATTTCAGAATAATATATATGATATGTTTTATAATGATTGATCATGAAAGTGTTATCAAAGCTGGTAAAGGTGCAGCTAGTTTGAATGACTTTGTATACTGCAGGGTAGCTTGTGAATTTACTCCAGGTCGAACTAAAGTCTGATTTAACACTTGATTATTTTTCACATCATTCATCCACATCTGTAAAGTAACTAAAGGTATTAAATACATGTAGTGGAGGAAAAGTACACCAGTTACCTCTGAACTGTAGTGGAGTAGAAGAACAAAGTAGCAAAACATTGAAATACTTAAATAAAGTACAAGTATCTCAAAATTGTACCCAAGTATAGTACTTGAGTTTATGAACTTAGTTACTTTACACCAGTGGCTATAAAGATAGAAAGACTAAGCCTTGCACAGAGGCATGAAAATACATTTTCAAAATGCTCAACAGTGCTGCCAAAATTATAAACTGACTGCTACACAATTCAAATAAATGCTTTTATATATTTCTATTAGATGTGACTCTTTGGCGTTTCTGTTATTAACACTGCTGCTTTAGTTGTTCTGACTGCTAAAATCCTCTGTTATTCCTCATTTTAAAGCCGATATTCCGTGGGGTCGGGGGGCTCGGGCTTGTCACCTTTTTCATACCGGATGAGTTTGCATCCCTGCATAGATCTCTTCATGTTGCTCTCAAAGTGCACCAGATTGATGCTTTTAACTTCAATATTAAAAAAAATAATCTTCCCGGGGGAGCATGCCACCGGACCCCCCTAGAGGAGGTGAGGACCCTCCTATAGGAGGTTAGGTCCACTCCCCACTTGTAAAAAATAGCACTGCTTACACCTATATGCCGTGAGCTGATTATCGAGCCTTCATTGTAACAGTCGCGGGTGTACTGTGTACTATATGTGCGTGTGGGGAGTGTTGCAGTAGAAAATTCAACTGTAGCGCTGGTGCAAACTAAATGTTTGAGCACCCTCTATGAAACGTCAAGCTACCCCACAGCACTAGTGTTAATTTCGTTGACTAAAACTATGACGAAATATGTTCGTCAACGACCTTTTTTTCCATGACGAAAACGAGACGACGAGACGGCACCGACGGCAGTAAACATTAGGCTTGTTTGAGACAAGCGAGACCTGCGCAGACCTGCGCAATTGCGATCAACGTCTTGCTAGTGCGTTGCATGATGGTTAGTCATTTTGTCCGACTTGCTCTGGAGGCTCGCCTACATGAGACGTTGAAATATCGCGGGACAAAGACGCCCGCAGACTTGAGAGCGAGGCGCGGCGAGGCGGCGCAGTTTCTCTCCACGGGCTGCGGAAGTGAAATGCTTGATGGGAAACGACTTGCTGGTATCTCGAGCTGAGCGCTCATTGGTGGGTTTTACCCCGTGCTGGGGATGAAACTCTCCATTGGCTCGGCAAAAGTGTGTTGTTGTTTTGTGTCAGTTTTACGTTGCCACTTCCATTCACATTTTTCATCATTGTTCCACAATGTTTATCATCATTAAATTAATATCTATATATTTGTATACTATACTTGCACTGCTTACCGTTGTCATACTTTATATATCTTAGCATATTCATACAACACACTGTTCATACTAGGCTAGGCTACTGTGTATATAGTGTATTCATACCCCTCACTGTTTATTCATCATTCAATTCATTCTATATTTTATTCTGTAGATTGTGTACATTAATTTTCACTTTACTGCTTTATGCACTCCTGGTTAGAAGCTAAACTGCATTTCGTTGTCTCAGTACCTGTAATCTGTGCAATAACAATACAGTTGAATCTAATCTTGAGCAGGAACAAATGTATTTACTTAGTACATACCTGACATTAACGATTAAACACATTTGTCCATTCTTTATCAATCAATGAATCAATCAATGTTTATTTATATAGCCCAATATCACAAATGTTACATTTGTCTCAGTGGACTTCACAGTTTGTACAGAATATCAGTATGACAATACGACACCCTCTGTCCTTACGTTTCACATCATACAAGGAAAAACTTCCAGAGAAAAACCCACAGTTTAAAGGGGAAATGAGAGAAACCTCAGGGAGAGCAACAGAGGAGGGATCCCTCTCCCAGGACGGACAGACGTGCAATAGATGCCGTGTGCATTTATAAATGCAAACCCAGTCAAGCCGACTCCGGAGGTGGCGGTATGCACCTTAAAGTTGTTTGAAATCCGCCAAAAAACCGAGAGAAGAAGAAGAAGAAGAAGAAGAAGCCGACTCCGAGCTGTCCGACTTCAGGCGAGCTTTTTGAGACCTCCCCCGGCTGCGATCGGCTATTCTCGTCTACTTTCGAGGCGAGCCGCACCTCGTCTCAAACAAGCCTAATAACTGTAACAAAATCATCATGCAATATCGTTGACGAAAAGTGACGAGACGAAAATGTAGTTTACTAAATAAAAACTATGCCAAAATCTCTCTTTACTTTCGTTGACGAAAAATGAGACGAAATATTATCAAAGATAACGTTACATCTCTGATAGTCAGTTTTTCTCCCAGCAGTTCAATTTCCGGTGCTGCGGCTGGGCAGCAGCTGTGTGTCTGTGCCGCGCGCGGCGGTACATTTGAAATACACCGGACAGCGGCACACTGTGAACTGTCAGGAAGACTCGGGTCTAACTCATGGTCTAACTAACCTTATTTAACAGAAAATAAAATGGCAACAACAGGGCAGTGGTCGCACTCGCGTTAACCGAATACCCCCCCCGTCAGCGCGAGTGAGTGATACATTGTGCACTCGACGGGTAATAATGGATTATGACGGAAATGTTACGATCTTGTCTGTCAAAATTACTGACAACGAAAAAGTATAAAGCCACCACTGCTTGGGAGAAAGAAACAATGTGATATTTGGGCCCATTTTCGCTACAATGAGGCGGAGAAAAAAAGCGAATGCATTGTTTTATCAGAAGGGAAGCAATGTAGCCTTAACACAGCTGGTAAAAACACCACAAACCTGACCAGATACTCTCTGCAAAGCTGCATTCTTAATCATTCAACCTGTGTTTTTCATCAAATAAGGACAAGATATAATCTTATTGTGAAATAAGTTTGACTAAAATGACAAATTATTGGTTTTGGCTAGACTAGTTTGACTGAAATGTTCTATATAATCTGATGACTAAAAAAGACTAAACAGTTTTCATTGACAAAAAGTAGATAATTAGTTTTCTTCGACTAAAATAAGACTAAAATATATATATATATATTATTTTCTTGCAGCCAGATAGGAACATTACACATATCCACAGTATTTACTGTATATCTGTATAGTTCAATGTTAATTGACAATAAATATTGTTGTTTTTGAATTGTACTTTCTTTATTTGATTGGCAGTCAGTTGTTGATTACATGCAGACGTTGATAAAGCTACAGGCTACTTCAATATATATCACACTAATTCATAAAGAAACTTAGACATTTTGATGTTCTGGACCTTTGCATGGGGACATTTTCTCTAACTGGACCTCATTGAATTTTAGTTGAATACCCCTGACCTAGAGAATTCGAACGGCTCTTATCATGGCTGCCACTGAGGTACTTCTGGGTCATTTCACTCCGTTAGGAAGGTTCCTAAGCCAAACTGACTATTCGACCGCAACCCTAGTGAATCTTCTCTGATACAGAGCACGTCCTGTGATGCTAAGGATGCTGGGAAAGAGGTGGAGCCTGCAGAAAATGAAGGTGTTGTCCAGTTGTCTCGAGCAGAGGCGAAGCAGGCCTGGCTGACAGCAGGGGGCGACACTGAGAGGGCTGCCAGACAGGCTCTGAGGGATAGACTCTCCAAGGTAACACATGAAGGAAGCTTAGAAATGCACCATCATATTTCATCTGTCCTTTGTTTAGACATGGCATCATTTTCTTCTTCGCCCCACCCTCAGGTGAAGGAGCTGAGTGCACTGGGCTTCAGTGATGAGGCTCCTTGTCATGAGGCTCTGAGGCAGAGTGGGGGGGAGGTGAGGGGGGCCCTGGCCCTGCTGCAGAGGCCCCTTCTGGAGCCCTTCCACAAACACATTTGGAGTGACAAGCCCGAGCCTCCCGTAGACATCCATCACCCCGACAAACAGGTGAGCACAGGAAAAACATCGGGCCTGAAAATGTGTTTGGACCGGACCCACAAAAAACTATTTATGAAAAATATAAATCACATTCATTACACATTCAAATTATTTTCATTTGAGATTTGAATAAAGACCCTTTGATGCAGTCCCGGATGTGTTTAACCATAGATTTCCAGAGGGAGGGGGCAGCGATGGAACAGTCTCTATCCCCAAATACATATGTGAATACAGCTGGTCGGCACCCATTTAACCCCTGAGCCACACTCGCCTATTAGTCATTAGCTAATATAATCTTTGCTAGTTTGTTAAAATGTTACCATGTATAATTGTTTGAAGTACAGAAGTTAACGGTTATACCTTCAACTTAAAATGTGCAATATACTGTATGAGTCAGTACCAAGAGTCCTCCTGTTAACAATTTAATGCAAGTAGCTATTTTTTTTAGGTCCGTAGCTATATCTACATACTTTGTGCTGACAGCGAAGAGAGCTCAGACATTTTAGGTCTGGTGAATCGGTTTTACTTTGGAATCTTCCTTACATACAGTAATACAGTATGCAAAACAGTATAAGGAAGTGTGTGGTGAAGTACATGTGATTTATTGTTTTGGTTTTAACCGTCTTATCATGTAATGTTATCGCGAATCATGGATTTTAACTGGTGTTGCTATAAACTAAAACCTTTGTGATATTTTGACATCTTGTTGGATTCTTCTGAAAACAAATTCTGTTCCAGCGCATATGTCGGAGGTTACTGGCCGTTTACAATCTCCCCAGCTGGGGCCGCTGTGAGCTGGCTCTGTCCCTGCTCCTGGAGCACAGCGCAACCTACTCCCTGGAGGATGTAGTGCAGGCTGTGAGAGAGTCCCACGACAGGGAGTTCATCCGGAGAGTGCTGGCTAAAGAGTGTCCCATCTGCCTGTCTGTGTTCCCCCACAGCAAGGTACTGACACAGTCCTGGGCGGATCTCGGAGGGGGGCCACAGGGGCCAGTGTAACACTGAGCTTCGGACCCTGTGGCCCCCCCTCCAAAAGTATATACCTATGTTCTTGCATTTTATGAAAGTGTTGCAACCAATTGTGTGCTCTAACCTAGGCCAAAGTTAACAGGGATGTTTTTCTTTTTTTCAGTAATGTAATTGAACAAATGTAAACTAAGTTACTGAAACACATTTTGTGACTAAAACAAATGCCAACACATATTAAGAAATAAAATTAAAACAAAAAATGTTGGCTGCATAAATAATGTATTTATTAACCCAGACTCCTTTTAATGTTCTGTATCTTGGGCCAAAGTAACTAATACAAGCTAACTAAAAGAATTGTAACTAAATCATTGACACAAACTCTGTTAAGTAATCAAACACCAATAAGGGTATTTTTTTTTTTTTTTATGCGCCATGACTTTATACTAAACTAAAAATGTTAGTATCTTGACCACTATCTTTGTCTCATTCTTCCCGTATTAAATGTGCACCTCTCATTCAATTATTGGCCCTATCACGGCCCCCCAGTAAAATGTGTCTGGAACACAGTGAATGTCTGTACGAGTGTTGCAGTGTTACTGTATCTTAAGTTCTTTCCTCCTTTCTCCCTCTCTTCCTTCAGATGCAATCCCTGACGTCCTGTCAGTGTTCTGTGTGCTGCGGATGTTTCCAGCAGCACTTCACCATCGCTGTGAGGGACAAACACATCAGAGACATGGTGTGTCCCGTCTGCTGGGAGCCTGACATCAACGACCCCGAGCACCTCAACAGCTACTTCTCCACCCTGGACATACAGGTATGAAATTCAATGTGCAGATGAATGACTGCAGACCGTGACTATTATGTGGGGATGTCATTCTCCGAGTCATGTCATTCTCCAGCAGAGCGAGTTTGGTGTTACACAGCTAATATGATAGCTTCCTCCATGGAGGTTTACAGTGTCAAAACTGTTTGCTATTGGTCAGCATTCATTAAAAACTTCACACTTACTTTTGAGATATTTTACACATCAAGTTTCAAAGGTTTTATTGTCACATGCACAGTAGCTACAGTGTAGATGATGAAAATCCCAGGTCTCAGGCTCCCTCAACAATGCAACATACGCACAATGCCAATGTGCAAGTAATGCAGATGTAGTAAACTATATACAGAAATCAAATGTCCACTCCACTGGCATCCCTGTACTGGCGGCTTGTATCTCGAAGAAGCAAGAATTCATTTTAAATTCCTTTTACTGACCTACAAAGCCTTGCATAATCAAGCACCTTCATATATCAGTGACTGCCTATAATGTTACATCCCAAATAAAACTCTCAGATCTTCCACTGGCTTGCTTTTAGAAGTTCCTAAGGGTGTTACACAAGTAATCTGGGGGGATGTAAACTGGTTAGCTCGAGAGGCAGCAATGGATGATGCATATATTTGTTACATACACCTTTTATCTGTAATGTTTAACAGCTTGTTGCATCAATAGGTTCTGTCATGATGCTGCACCCGTACTCTCACACTGCTTTAAGAGCTTGTTTTTTTTTTTAGAGTTTTGAGCTTGTTCTGGGTCAGTGTGTGTTAATATTCAGGTTATTGACATGTGAGTGAAGCTTGAACTTGCTTAGTAATATTTCAGTCCTGGCTCAGGGGGGAATCTCCAGGACTAACGTAGAGTTGTTTGGCTCTGAAATTACTTTTATTTATTTTATAATGGGTACCATTTTGTCATAGCAAACGTTGGTCGTCATCACTTCATTGTCACATATGAAGTAGTGTTCGCGACATGATTGTTAAAAAAACCAAAAAAAACACTGGTTATTAAGTTGTTATTTTCTGTTGCAAAAAATACTTCAATAGAGTTATAAGTTGAAGCAGCAAATAGTACATATTCTTAATTTAAGCCCCTATAAAAATTCAAGATCCTACGCTTACCGTAATGCTTGTTGATGGCATCTTTTCTTAGATCTTGCTGCCTTGTAAATACCTTCAACTGTGGAAACCCATACCCCCCAGTTTGTAATGCAGGCTTTCTGTTATGAAATGTATCTCTGAGCCCAAAAGTAAAAAAACATGATGACTTTTCTCTCTTCTCATGATCAGGTTTTTATTTTCTCTGAGTAAACAAAGCTGCTTCACAGACACAGCAGACATTATACAGTTGTTTTCACTGACTGAATAAAAATAGACTTGTCAAGTTCTATAAAATGTGTTGTAAAATATCATCCCCAGCTCATCTTCAAGAACTAACTTTTACATTTATTTGGTTCTTGCAACCTCCAGGGATTGAGTTGTACGTTGTGTTGTTGTGTTTTGTGCTTCAGCTGCGGGAGTGTCTGGAGCCAGAGGTGTACGAGCTGTTCCACAAGAAGCTGACGGAGCAGGCTCTCATCAAGGACCCCAAGTTCCTGTGGTGCTGTCATGTGAGTACCAGGGGGCACTCTTGGCTTTGTCAACAAAAATGATGGCGAACAAATGTAATTTAAGTACAATTTTTTTAAGACAATGGAAGCTTTTATAATATTAAAGACAATGTGCAATGTTTACTGACTACAATTAGTTTGAATTATTGTTACATATTTTGTTGAGTTGTGTACTTACATTATCCAAACTATACATTTTCTCTGGTTGTCTGCCAGAAGCTGTCATACATTTACATTTTATTCAGTTTTAGTAAAACATTTGCACTATACCATACTATACAGCTTTTAGATCTTGGTAGTTTTTAACTCAACTTTTAACCAAATGAAGTTTACAGAGAAACAAGCTGAGCAAACTCAGCCTTTAGCTTGTGGCTTTTGGGAAACACAGATCTTTAACGTGAAATTGCTATAGTCTGTGTTTTAACGGTTTTAATCACAGGGTCCTTTTGATTTACAGTGGAAGAGACTTCAGCAAATAATTTAGCTTCTGGGTAAAACCTAGATCTTAAAGTGTCAGAGTAAAGAGCTGGGGGAACACTGATTTAAAATGAAACTAATGTATTCTGTGTTATACAATTTATTCAATAATGTTGTGCTTCCTTTTGGAGAAGTAGAGGCCTTTTCCAATTCCCTGTAGTAAAAATCCTGAATCCATTACATCGCATTTGATTATTGTTCTGAATGAGAACCCCCCCAGTGTCCCCCAATTACAAATGTTATGTTTAAAGAGCTCTATTTTTGTGTCTACACAATCAGCACTCTTATCACGCTTGTTTAACATAACATCCTTTGATCAGTAGAGGCTTCTAAATTGGCTGCAAAGTCTGTGTTTAATGCAATGTCAGTAAATCAGTCTGCAGTGGTCTATACATTTAAAACAGCTGATTCTTACAGTACCTGAGGTCCACATGGCTTTATACTGTATGACAAATGTTTTCAGTTCATTAAATCCCTGCAGCCATCTAAAGATAGCAGGACACTGTATGTTGATGAATCAGGTCTCTTCTCCTCTTATCTTTTCCTTTCTCCTCTCCTCAGTGTTCATATGGGTTCATCTATGATGGCGACCAGCTGAAAGTCACCTGTTTCCAGTGTCGCAACAGTTTCTGTGCTCAGTGTAAGAAGCCTGTGAGTATGATGTGTTGATTGATTGATTGAAAAGTTTATTAACAGCTTGTATATTGGGTACAGTACAGTACAGCTCAAAACATACAATTGTTAAGGGGATGCAGACCAGAGAAAGACTTTCGTCTTGTTTACATCAGGGTCCCCCATTTCCAATTCATCATATCATTTAAGACATATAAGACATATTTGACATACAGATGGCTTATTTACAATTTACATACAGGTGGTTTTTTACATACAGATGGCTTATTTACAATTTTCATTTTAGATTTCGTTCTAATACATCCTAACCGGACATTTAAGACATACCAAGTCTACAGATATACAGTTAGTAACAGAGTCTAAAATGCGAGTATATACATAGATGGGGGGGGGAAGCTGTCCATTGTACGACAGGTTGAGATTTGTACCATTACCGGGGCCAGTTTTGCAATGCTTTCCCCCGAAGGTGCTCTTTAAGAGAGGTTTTGAAGGTAAGTATAGTTTTACTTTCCTTTACAGTTGTTCCACTCTCTGTTGTGCTGATCGCCTTCTTTTCTTTCTCAGTAAAGTTTGGTCTCTCCAAAATGATTGTGTTATCTTCTCTTCTCACCCTCATCATTGAAGTTCTATCCTAAAAACATGTTAACATGATGTAAGACAAGGACATATAAATGATGTCAGGTCCAGAGGCAGAAGAAGTACGCAGATCATTGACTTGAGTATAAGTAGCAATAATAGTGTGAATTCAAGTGCAAAAATACTTTTTTTTACAAGTAAAAGTCCTGCATTCAAAATAGTACTTCAGCAAAAGTACAAAAGTATTAGCATCAAAATATACTTTAAGAACCAAAAGTACCCATTATGCAAAATGGCACATTTAAGCACCATATATTTGTAATTATATTATCATAACTTTTGATGCATTGATGTTTCCATCGCTAAAATGTAGCACTTAAAGGTAAAGTTGGGGTTTATTTAAATTACTTTATATATTACTACTGGGTAGCTTAACTTATTATAATATATCAAATACAATAATAGGAAGTCATTGTGAAAACAGAAAAGAAAGGTCTGTGAAGGGAGAGTCCACGCTTGGACAACATTTCCACCAATCATTGCTGTAGCATTGGAAAGCTCACACTCAGGACATGGAACTCAATAGGCGCGTTCACACCAAGTACTTTGCAGTACTTAGTTCCGGCACTCAGTGCCCCGGGACTTTTTACCCCAGGGCACTTAGTACAGATTGCGTTCACACCGGAGTACTTTTCCCTGAGGGAAGATTAGGCAAATGAGCCGCTGACGTCACTTCTTCTTCTTCTGCTTTGGCTTTACTGGCAGGCCACAAACCACTTCACGGCGAGTACAGTAGGTGGCGGTATGCACCTTAAAGTTGTTTGCAATCCGCTGCAAAACAAGAGAAGAAGAAGAAAAACTTCCCGCGTATACTGCGACGCCCACCCACTCGCTGTACATTAGGCGTCTGTTGTTTACCTTCCGACCTCAGACATGATGGAGATGGAGTCGACTGAAGTTGTGCTGTTTGTGCTCATGTTATACAGCTTTGTAACTGAGTTAATGCAGCCTGAGCAACTTGCGTACAATAACAAAACAAGCCGAGCACGAGTGGTGGTGGAGAACGCTTTTGGCAGACTGAAGGGCAGGTGGCGGTGCTTGATGAAAAGAAACAACTGCAAGATGGACAAGATCACAATCCAGGTGGCTGCATGTTGCATATTACATAACCTTTGTGAAAGTAATGATGATGAGTACAGGGACGAATGGACTGCCTTACCGGCGACCCAGCTTGATGGGCCAGCCATTGCCGAGGCTGGGGGGCAAGACACGCGCACAGCCCTTAATGTAAATTGTACATTGTAAACATTTTGACAATAAAGCTGATCTTTTGTACAGTGCTTTTGTTTCTCTCTTTTATTTTCCAGTCAAGACAGGCAACATTACAATAGTGTACAGTGTGACAATATAATAACAATAAACTGTGCCAGGTGTGTTGTATGCACAGTAAATAGGCTCAGCAGCAAACCCACCTTTATTATATATATATCTTCCTGAGACCCACTGCATCCGTCTGCCATAAACACTATGGAAACCTACATGTTAGTTTTGGCCCATAGTGGACTCCATTTTGTGTTGTGTAAAATGGGGGGGGAATTAAAAGTTTGCAAATCCCCATGTCCTCCTCAGAGGATAATCATAAAAACATTTAGTTTTAGGTAAAATAATATTTTAAATGATATAAATGATCATATTTGTGTATGTGCCCCTGCCATTCCTCCACAAGGTTGCAACATTGATGATAGATAAATGACAAATAAAGCTTCGCCAGTTTATAACCGATGAAACATGATGGTATCAGAATAATCACTTACATGTGATGTATAGGATGCTACGGTCACTAAAGATAAAGTGTCAGGAGAAATAAGCAAGATACAGGATCTGTTTAATCGCCATGTAGGTTCTCTTTATTGCACTCTCAAGACATAACAGTAAATAGAAGTTCACATTTTTAATGTAAATAAAATGTGTACGTTGTACATGTAAGTTAACATTATCAATATAAAATAAAGTGTCAGTTGTATCAAGACTATATAATAACAGTAATAACAATAATATAAAATAAACTGTCCCAGGTGTAGGGATAGGCTCAGCAGCATACACACCTTAGTGCAAAGTTGTGTGTCAGTATTAATAAAAACAATACAAAATGAACTGTCCCAGGTGTAGGGATAGGCTCAGCAGCAGACATTGTTAACAGTGGCAACTATAGGGAGGAAGACCTGTTGGCTTTCACTAGCTGGGAAAGCACTTCCAGAAACTCATTCTGAAAAGTGGTTTGTCGCTCATCCTGCACCGACACTTCATCCTGGCGCTGTGCCTACACTTCATCCTGGCGCTCCTGGCGCTGCACCGACACTTCATCCTGGTGCTCCTGGCGCTCCATCTGCTGCTTCAACACTTCAGCCTGGCGCTCCATCATCGTGAGCATCTTGTCCTCCGTTTCCTGGGCCTTGGTTAACAGCTCCATCTGATCCCCGTGCATCGACTCTTTCACCACGGCACGCCGGTCCTCCAACGCCTGGACGGTGTCAAAGAAATTCACATCCCGTGCCCGCTTTGCTAAAAGGGAAAATAAGCAAGATACAAGATCTGTTTAGTCGCCATGTAGTTTTACAACATACTAGGAATGTGTTTACTAGTCAACATTGGACAGGGTGCAGGCCGGGACAAGACAGTGTACACAATGCAGGTGTATAGTAGAAGATAATATAGGATCAAATAGCATAAAATATATATATATATATATATGAGTGTGTGTGTGTGTAGCTGCCGCTCAAAGTGCCCTTATTTATTGTTTTGTATTTTTGAAGAGTGCTTCATGTATGCTTGAACTTTGTTTAATGTTGTTGAGGCAAGCCCGGATGTTTACAATGTTTGTGAGAGAGTAAAAACGGCGCGAAAATTTGTAAACGCCGGTCTAGGCGAATACGTTTTCACGCTGTTTCATAATTGTACCAAGAAGGAAATAAACATGATTGTGAACATCAGTTCGATGCGTAACGTTCTTTCAAGACAAAGTTACAGTGTGTGTACCTTTGCGTTTGGTTGCTGGTAAGGGGGACGAGCAAGCAGTGTTAATTTTGGCAGCTGTTTTTGATTTAGTCTTAGTCTTAGTCTTTAGACGAAAATGGTTATTAGTTTTAGTCACATTTTAGTCATTTCTATCCTTCATAGTTTTAGTCTAGTTTTAGTCGACGAAAACTCAAAACGTGTTAGTCTAGTTTTAGTCGACGAAAACTCAAAACGTGTTAGTCTAGTTTTAGTCGACGAAAACTCAAAACGTGTTAGTCTAGTTTTAGTCGACGAAAACTCAAAACGTTTTAGTCTACTTTTAGTCGATGAAAAAATACATTTTAGTCAACTTTTAGTCAAAATTATTTCTCTCTTTAAACCAATTCAGTTAGGCAAATACAGGTATCTGACATTGGAATCAAGGGGACAGCATCAAGTGTTGAAATTCGTAAAGCAACATTTCACTCTCTTAACACTTTACTTGTGTAATATCTAGGGATGGGTATCGCTAAGGTTTTCTACGGTACTACTAGTCTTATCAATACTGCTTATTGATCCGGTACTTTAACGGTATTCTTGTATTTACTTTTTGTTATTTTTTAAAGGAAAAAACTAACAAATTGTTAACCGAATTAATTGCTTTATTTAAATGTGAAATAAATGAAATATATATAATTATGTTAAAATATTGTAGGCTACTGTACTTGAGTAAAATGTTGAGGTACTTGTACTTTACTGGAGTATTTAAATGTTTTGCTACTGTGTACTTCTACTCCACTACAGTTCATAGTTAAATGGTGTACTTCTACTCCACTACATGTATTTAATACCTTTAGTTACTTTACAGATGTGGATGAATGATGTGAAATATAATCAAGTGTTAACTCAGACTTTAGTTCCACCTGGAGTAAATTCACAAGTTACCCTGCAGTATACAAAGTCATTCAAACTAGCTGCACCTTTACCAGCTTTGAGAACACTTTCATGATCAATCATTATAAAACATATCATATATATTATTCTGAAATGGACCAATCTGCACAATGAATACTTTTACTGTCGCTACTTTAACTATATTTTGATGATCATACTTTGACTTGAGGAACTCTTTCTACACTATGGTATTTTTTTACTTAGCTACAAGATCTGAGTAGGCTACTTCTCCCACCTCTGCACACCTGATGTGATAACGTTACTCGTAATTGGGGCAACAGAGCTACGAGTTAAGGAAGTCGAAAATTGTGCATTTCTCCGATTGAATATGACGCCTTTTGGCCGGCTGTTTGGACAGACTACTCTACTCGTGTCAACGCGCTAACGCGAAAACATGGCAAACGAGCTTTGTCCACATCGAGCCTTGTAGAGTGTCTCTATACTCTCTGAACGCTCCGTCCCCGGCAGATCTCTGTGTGTGCCGCTGCAGCGTGTCTGTTAGGCCCCGCCCCCCGCACAGAGAGAGAGGGAGATCGCTCTTCTGGAGTGAAGAGAGCGGAAATAATGATATTGCAAGTTAGAAACGTAAGATGCATTTTGACAGACAAGACGGGCAATTGTGGGGAAATACCCTGCATTTTGAATGTCCGATAGTCCACCATTAACACCTTAGTCCCGTCTCGTCTCGTCAACGAAAACTAAATATACATTTCGTCAAATTTTCGTTATCAAGAATCTATTTTTAGCTCGTCATCGTCTCGTCTTAGTCGTGTAAAAAAGGTCGTTGACGAACATTTTTCGTCATAGTTTTCGTTGACGAAATTAACACTGCGAGCAAGCGCTGTGATCTGGAAGGGAAAGCTCGCTTGTTTCCAATCCTGAGAGTTGTCCAGCCTCGCCTGAAACACACGATTAGTGCCATGAGTTAGTGACGCAAATTACAGAAACACTGCACAGTTATTCACAAGTCAAAACGTTTTCATAGCGGCCGAGAATATCTAGCTAGCTAGATGTTATTAGCCAGCTCGGGGCCGGTGTTAGCCAGTTCAGCCTAGCATGGCTAGCTTGATCTACTGAGCAAATAAAAGTACATCTGAGACCATTATTGTGCAGATTAAAACCCCAGTGCATGTAGTTGATTTTACCTTCGTCGTGGTTGTCATCGTCGGCCACTGAATCCGCCGTTTGAGCGGCCTCCCACACCATCGTGCCCGAATCGAAGGTCGATGCTGTCCCAGAGAAAAGGTCTGTGGCCTAGCAGAGCATCCAAGCGCTCGTACCATCCTCGGCGTAGATTTCCAGAAGCGCCGACACCTCCTCATCACTCCACCGCTTCGATTATTTATTGATGCTTGCCATAACTGCTTTCAAAACAAACTACTCTCCGTTGGTGCGCTGGGTTTTTGTAGCGAGCAAATAAAATGGCGGCTCTGCAAAACATTTCAGAGTTTTACGGGGCGCGGTTTGCAATTCGCCCAGCCAATCAGAACTGGGGCACTTTTTTCCCCCAGGAAAGTACGATCTCTCAGCAGGCACTAAAAATGGGGGTAAAAGTTCCCGAGATTAAGTGCTCTTTTTGGTGTGAACGCGACATAAGGGGTACTAACGGAACTAAACGCGAAAAGTACGGTGAAAAGTACTCCGGTGTGAACGCGGCTAATGGAGAAGGTCTTTAGACAAGTCAGAGTCGCAGTTTAATAGGAAAGTAATTATTACCAAGTAAAGTGGCAACTGATTGTTTTTTATTTATAGGCACTACGTCTATTTAATCCATATAAAAGGCATTGAGAGAAAATTGGGTAGACATTATTTTCTCTCTCAAATGGTCTGCAGCAGCTAAGTTATTTCAAATGTAGAGACCTCTCTATTTAAAGGGCAAAATGTAAAGTTGTATCCACCTGCTCATTCTGTCGACCATAAATGCTTCATTGAAGGTAAGGTTTGATCTCTGGCTTGTCTTTCACCACCTCTTTATGTCCTTTGACATGTGACACACATGTATAGTGAGATGGAGACTCGACCTGCGTCTTAAAGGCAAAAAGCAGAGACATGACTCTGTGTCCCATAAATATTGAAAAAAGGCAATGTAACGTGTTTGGATCTCTGCCAAACTGTCATCAATAATAAGTACCATCGCACAACCACGGTGTGTATCATTTACACAAACTAATCCACACCATGAGTTGCAGCCTCTGGCATCAGATAAAAGGACTTTGATTATACGTTAAATATACACCTAAATAAATATATTGGGAGTTTCCCCTTCTTTACAGTATATCACCTTTTATCCTCCCTGCTGTCTCGCCAATGTTTCTGACAGACACTCATTAATGTGACAGTTTCTGCTTTGGGTTATTTAAAAAGATTCATTTGTAAGATTGTTATTAATAACCTTTCGATTATCTATAGTAATAATATAATGCATGAGGATTTTGAACAATTGGTTATGGTATACATAGTGAAGTAAAATAAAACATAATAATGATGACTAAGATTTGTTCCCGTCAGTTTAATTGAGTTAAACTCCCCGGCTCTTACCAAGGAGCACAGAGGAGAAGCAGAGGAACATGAGATTCACACTCTGATTTTCATTTTAAAGCGTGCACTTCACCCAGGAAGAGGACAGGTGGTTACCAATGGTTACAGTGTGTGTGTGTTGTCTCTGCAGTGGGAGTCTCAGCATGCAGGCCTGTCCTGTGAACAGTACCAGTCCTGGAAGAGAGAGAACGATCCAGAATACCAGAGACAGGGCCTAGCTGGATACCTGCGGGACAACGGCATCAGTAAGCACACACACACACACACACACACACACACACACACACACACACACACACACACACACACACACACACACACACACACACACACACACACACACACACACACACACACACACACACACACACACACACTAGGGGTTTCACCAACTAATCGACTAGTCGACTACCTCTACCAATAGTCGGCGCTGTAGGCAAACGTGGGAGATGAGGATGCCGACATTGGCGCTGAGGTGCTGCAAAATGCTCCAGCAAAACATCTTATGCGCAAATGCGCCGCAATTATGCGCTCGACAGTTTCAGTTTTAGCTTCGGCGCTAAAAGTTCACGAGCGTGCTCCACTAGCACCCCCCCTTTGAACAGCTGTTTGGACTTCATTTCGAGAGCAACAAGAAAAAACATGTCAACAGTGGCGCGGATGAGCTACGGGATTACTGCCAGCAGACACACAATGGATAACCCTCTGAAGTGGTGGGCACAAAACACGAACCGCTTCCCCCGTTTAGCCAAGCTTTCCAGGAGCTACCTGGCTATTCCAGCCACCAGCACCCCAAGTGAACGGATGTTTTCCCTGGCAGGCAACACTGGCTGCGTCTCACTTCGGTTAAATGGAATCCTTGCGTCCCTCACTTGCGTCGTTTCACTGCGTTTAGTCCCTCCCACCAGGGAAGCATGGAGAGACGCAAGGAAACCACGAGAAGCAGGGAAATGAGTTTTAAGAGCAATGGGACGTCCTTTCCTCCGGAGCGTCACGTGAAGCGACGTCCGTTTGTGATGACGCCGCACAGCTGTTCGTCTGACAGCAGCTCTGTCCCCGTTGTTTTCACAAACACCCCCGCCTCTGTTAGTACACATTTACTGACACAAACATTTGTATCATCTGTTGTAGACCCAAATACATTAAATAAAATAAGAACTCATTCTCAAAAAAGATAAACGCCATTCTTAAAATGTATAAACGAACAATAGTTAGATTAATATTGATTAGAGTGCACAATAGAAATAAAATAATTCAGAGAAGAAAAAGAGATATGTTATCTATCAAAACCCAGTTAGATTAACATTCATTGGATTGCACACTTTGTTTGTGTGGATATGTAGCAAATTAACATTTTAAATAGCACTTAATGACTGACTGAATGGAAATGACAATAAATGAAAATGTAAAACGAAAAAAGCGATCATGAAAATGTTTCCAATAAATGAATAAAATGATTTTTGACCACTTTGTTGTTCAGATATATCACATATTTGTAACTGAATGATGCATTCATTGAAACAAAGGTGGTTCCTCCATTATAGCTCCTCCGTTATCACTCCTCGGTCCTCCGGCACAAATAAGGCCACTGGGACACTACTCAAGATGGCGCAGACAAATCAACTTCCGGTGATACCGAGACCGAGGAGCGAGGAAATGAAAAATAAGAGACGTGAGACGCAGCCACAGTCACCCGACAGCGGTCAAGCCTCCTTCCCTCACATGTTGATGCTTTGGTCTTCCTTAACGCAAACCAAAAAACCTGGAAGGGTTATTGAGGAGGACAGCAACAGCGAGTAAAGTGTTGCGCAATGCGCACTGGATTTACTTTGCATTTATGTTCCTAACAGAGTTTTTTCAGTAGATTTGGTGAGTCCAGTTACTGTTTTTAATTTAATTAGCCATGTAACAGCAGCATGCAACACAAATTAAAATGCTGCTTTGTTACAGTGTTTAACGTAACCGTATGCATTGCAATACAAAATACAGTTTTACACCTCTCTTTGTGTGTCTTTATTATGACGTAACAACTAGTCGACTACTATTTTGAAAAACTTGACGACTAGTAAATATTGGTAGTTGTGAAACCCCTAACACACACACACACCCTTTTTTGCAGTATCATATATTAGCTGCAGTTGTTGAAGGTGTATTTCAGTCACCACATCAAAATAGATTATTAATAATAATAATAATACATCAAATGTATAAAGCGTAAGGGTAAGATGACCCTCCCCCTTTATTTAGGGAACTGTGCACATCTGTTGTCATGTGACCATACATTCAGGAAGCACACATCATTTATTTTTGGCTGTGATGGAGAGAAGCACATGGTAAACTAAAAACCATGTTTTGCTTGTCAAAGTACATTTTCAACATGTCAGGTATATCAGGTGTATCCAGGTCTGAAAATATTTATCATACATGTTGGTTATTTAGCAAGGTGTAAAACCATGTGGATCATTTAACTAAAGATTATCAGGAATGGCTAAACTAGACTATGTTTTAAACATAGCAGCATCTTTAGAAGGGCTTCAGCCTTCAATAGAACTACAGTGATAGAGAGATGAGAGAATACCCACAATTGATAACATGAATAATTATCAATTACTAGCTTATTTTTTTATTTTCTTTGTTTGTGCACAAGCATTGACATTTTTAGATACAGTACCAGTCAGAAGTTTGGACACACCTTCTCATTCAATGGTTTTTGTTTATTTAACTGTTTTTCTACTTTGTAGATTAATACTGAAGACATCAAAACTATGAAAGAACACACATGGAATTATCTAGTGAACAAAAAAGTGTTAAAAAATCCAGAATATGATTTTTTATTTTAGATTCTTCAAAGTAGCCCCTTTTGCCTTGATGACAGCTTTGCACACTCTTGGCTTCTCTCAGTCAGCTTCATGAGGTCGCCTGGAATGGTTTTCAATGAACACGTGTGCCTTGTCAAGAGTCCATTTGTGGAATGACTTGCCTTCTGAATGTGTTTGAGAGCATCAGTTGTGTTAGAGGTAGGGTTAGTGCACAGTGGAAAGCCCTATTTGACTACTGTTGTAATCCATATTATGGCAAGAACCACTCAACTCAGTGAAGAGAAGCGACCGTCTATCATCACTTTAAGAACTGAAGGCCAGTCGATCCGGAACATTTCAAGAACTTTGAATGTATCTTCAAGTGCAGTCGCAAAAACCATTGAACGCTATGATGAAACTGGCTCTCATGAGGACCCCCCCCCCGGGAAAGGAAGACCAAGAGACACCTCTGCTGCAGAGGATAAATACATCAGAGTTACCAGCCTCAGAAAGCACAAATGAAAGCACCTCAGATTAGAGCCCACATAAATGATCACAGAGCTCAAGCAGCAGACAATCTCAACATCCACTGTTCAGAGGAGACTGCGTGAATCAGGCCTTCATGGTCCAATCGCTGCAAAGATCCACTACTGAGGATGAACAACAAGAAGAAGAGAATAGTTTGGGGCCGAGAAAACACAAGGATTGGACATTAGACAGTGGAGATCTGTACTTTGGTCTGATGAGTCCACATTTGAGATTTTTGGTTCCAACCTCTGTGTCTTTGTGAGACGCAGAGAAGGTGAGCAGATGGTTTCTGCATGTGTGGTTCCCCCCCGTGAAGCAAGGAGGAGGAAGTGTGATGGTGTGGGGGGGGCTTTGCTGGTGACACTGTTGGTGATTTATTCAGAATTCAAGGCTCACTTAACCAGCATGGCTACCACAGCATTCTGCAGTAGCAGCAAAATATAAATCATATTCTACATTTTTAACACTTTTTTGTTTACTAGATCATTCCATGTTCCTTTATAGTTTTGATGTCTCTATTATAAATCTACAATGTAGAACAAATTTAAATAAACAAAAAACTAATATAATATAATAATATTTAAATATAAAGAAAGTTTCATCGTTCAGTACCGACAGAGATTACACTGCTCAGAAAGAGTGTTTATCTCCGGATTGATTCCTGGCAGGTCATTTGAGTGGAATTCAGAAGCTTGTATATCTGGTCAGTAATGCAATGAAATTGTTGATAATAATGAATATGCAAACTGTCTGCTTCTTTGTACATTATATTTTAAATGTTCACTTATCTACTGACACTACCTTTCCCTTCTCTCTGTGCTTCCTCCTTCCCCCCCCCCCCCCCCCCCCCCCCCCCCCCCCCATCCTGTCCTAACTGTCGCTTCCAGTACGCGCTGTCTAAAGGGGGCTGCATGCACTTCTGCTGCTCCCAGTGTCGCTACCAGTTCTGCAGCGGCTGCAACAACCCCTTCCACACTGTGAGTCTGAACCAGCATGTGGTCCTGGTGCTGCTCAGCACATTACTGTTTGTTACTATCCTACAGCTTGCTCTATGGAGGGATTCACTTAAAAATATCAAATGAGATTCAGTCTTCAATTAAAGTTAAAGTCTTAAATACTAGTCAAAACATGCCTTATTCCTTTTTTTAACATTGTAAAAAGTTAAATTTGCATGGTAGGCCATGGCAAGTCTTTGCTCCTCTATATGAAGGAATACCCCCTAGTTTTGATATAAATGATCCAGGAATGAGTCCTAAAACCGGGATATAAGTCAGCATTTTAGCACTTCTGGTTGCCTCGTCTCAACGTTTTTTGAATATGTTTTTTGTTAGAAGCCTGAAATAATGTCTTTGGTTAACACAAGCTGTGAAATAGTCACGTTTTGTTCTAAGACATCAAATACGTCAGTAAAAACCCCACTGGTGAATCTCTGAAGCTTCTATGTGACATTAAAAAAGTGTTTGCTAACAAGTGGCTAATATATATATATATATATATATATATAAATGAGAAGAATAAAAATCATCACCCCTCCTTGAGCTCAGTGATGGTGATGTGAAAATCAATGTGACCGTGATGTCCATTTGCTACATAGAACTTTCACTTCTGCAGATTGGCATTCAATGATTCTCAACTGCTGAACACAACGTGTTTTGCCTAGAGATCTTATTTTCTGGCAATATTCTAAACCCAATGATAAAAATCCATTATGCCTTTTGTTGAGGGAGCCTTGAGATGCTAACGGTCCTACAAAAGTACATTATCACTTCATCCAGTCCATAGCATCAGCTAAGCTAACCTCTCCCCCCATTGTTGTTGTTTTAAACAAGCTGTTGCTCAATGTGCCGTGTAAAACAAATCACAGAAGTAAGCTGTGAAAGTAGTCCGAATGAATTGCTTGCAAACCCATGGTTTGGTGTGAATGCAGCTTTAGGTTTACCATATAGGTGATTAACATCTGACATACCTGAACATTAACATCTGACATACCTGAAAAGCTATTAACATCTGACATATACCTGAACATTAACATCTGTGCAGACCTGAACATTACATCTGTCAGACCTGGACATTAACATCTGATACATACTGAATCATTAACATCTGTCAGACCTGAACATTAACATCTGTCAGACCTGAACATTAACATCTGACATACCTGAACATTAACATCTGACATACCTGAACATTAACATCTGACATACCTGAACATTAACATCTGACATACCTGAACATTAACATACTGTCAGACCTGAACATTAACATCTGACATACCATGAACATTAACAGTCTGTCAGACTGAACATTAACATCTGACATACCTGAACATTAACATCTGTCTGACCTGAACATTAACATCTGTCTGACCTGAACATTAACATCTGACATACCTGAACATTAACATCTGTCAGACCTGAACATTAACATCTGACATACCTGAACATTAACATCTGACATACCTGAACATTAACATCTGTCTGACCTGAACATTAACATCTGTCAGACCTGAACATTAACACATCTGTCTGACGCTAACATTAACACTTGTCTGACCTGAACATTAACATCTGACATACCTGAACATTAACATCTGTCAGACCTGAACATTAACATCTGTACATACCTGAACATTAACTCTGTCACGGACCTGAACCATTAACATCTGTACATGACCTGAACATTAACATCTGACATACCTGAACATTAACATCTGACATAACCTGACATTAACATCTGTCAGACCTTAACATTAACATCTGTCTGACCTGAACATTACCTCTGTCTGACCTGAACATTAACATCTGTCTGACCTGAACATTAACATCTGACATACCTGAACATTAACATCTGACATACTGAACATTAACATCTGTCAGACCTGAACATTGAACATCTGTACATACCTGAACATTAACATCTGACATATACCTGAACATTAACATCTGACATACCTGAACATTACATCTGACATACCTGAACATTAACATCTGACATACCTGAACATACATCTGACATTCCTGAACATTAACATCTGTCAGACCCTGAACATTAACATCTGTCAGACCTGAATCATTAACATCTGACATACCTGAACATTAACATCTGACATACCTGAACATTACATCTGACATACCTGAACTTAACATCTGACATACCTGAACATTAACATCTGATCGACCATACCTGAACATTAACATATGACATACCTGAACATTAACATATGACATACCTGAACATTAACATCTGACATACCTGAACATTAACATCTGACATTCCTGAACATTAACATCTGACATACCTGAACATTAACATCTGTCAGACCTGAACATTAACATCTGTCTGACCTGAACATTAACATCTGACATACCTGAACATTAACATCTGTCTGACCTGAACATTAACATCTGTCTGACCTGAACATTAACATCTGACAATACATGAACATTAACATCTGTCTGACGCTGAACATTAACATCTGTCTGACCTGAACATTACATCTGTCTGACCTGAACATTAACTCTGACATTCCTGAACTTAACAATCTGACATAAACCTGAACATTACATCGACATAACTGAACATTACATCTGACATACCTGAACATTAACATCTGACATTCCTGAACATTAACATCTGACATAACCTGAAACATTAACATCTGTCAGAAGAGACGCTGAACATTAACTATCTGACATACCTGAACATTAACATCTGACATACCTGAACATTAACATCTGACATACCTGAACATTAACAATCTGTCAGACCTGAACATTAACATATGACATACCTGAACATTAACTCATGCGACATGAATACTGAACATTAACATCTGACATTCCTGAACATTAACATCTGACATACCTGAACATTAACATCTGTCAGACCTGAACATTAACATCTGACATACCTGAACATTAACGATCTGTCTGACGCTGAACATTAACATCTGTCTGACCTGAACATAACATCTGACATACCTGAACATTAACATCTGTCTGACCTGAACATTAAACATCTGTCTGACCTGAACATTAACATCTGTCTGACCTGAACATTAACATCTGACATACCTGAACATTAACATCTGACATACCTGAACATTAACATCTGTCAGACCTGAACATTAACATCTGTCTGACCTGAACATTAACATCTGACATACCTGAACATTAACATCTGACATACCTGAACATCTGACATCTGACATACCTGAACATTAACATCTGTCTGACCTGAACATTAACATCTGTCTGACCTGACATTAAACATCTGACATACCTGAACATTAACATCTGACATACCTGAACATTAACATCTGTCAGACCTGAACATTAACATCTGACATACCTGAACATTAACATCTGACATACCTGAACATTAACATCTGACATACCTGAACATTAACATCTGTCTGACCTGAACATTAACATCTGTCTGACCTGAACATTAACATCTGACATACCTGAACATTAACATCTGTCTGACCTGAACATTAACATCTGACATACCTGAACATTAACATCTGACATACCTGAACATTAACATCTGTCTGACCTGAACATTAACATCTGACATACCTGAACATTAACATCTGACATACCTGAACATTAACATCTGTCTGACCTGAACATTAACATCTGACATACCTGAACACTGAACATTAACATCTGACATACCTGAACATTAACATCTGTCTGACCTGAACATTAACATCTGACATACCTGAACATTAACATCTGACATACCTGAACATTAACATCTGTCTGACCTGAACATTAACATCTGACATACCTGAACATTAACATCTGTCAGACCTGAACATTAACATCTGTCTGACCTGAACATTAACATCTGTCTGACCTGAACATTAACATCTGACATACCTGAACATTAACATCTGACATACCTGAACATTAACATCTGTCTGACCTGAACATTAACATCTGACATACCTGAACATCTGACATACCTGAACATTAACATCTGACATACGACATACCTGAACATTAACATCTGTCACCTGAACATTACACTGTCTGACCTGAACATTAACATCTGACATACCTGAACATTAACATCTGACATACCTGAACATTAACATCTGTCAGACCTGAACATTAACATCTGACATACCTGAACCTTAACATCTGTCTGACCTGAACATTAACATCTGACCTACCTGAACATTAACATCTGTCTGACCTGAACATTAACATCTGTCTGACCTGAACATTAATATCTGACATACCTGAACATTACATCTGTCCACCTGAACATTAACATCTGTCTGACCTGAACATTAACATCTGTCACCTGAACATTAACATCTGACATACCTGAACATTAACATCTGACTACCTGACATTAACATCTGTTGACCTGAACATTAACATCTGACATACCTGAACATTAACATCTGACATACCTGAACATTAACATCTGTC